GTTTGGTTCTGGCTCGCCTTGGCAAATAGCCAGTTTGAAACCACCCGTATCATACTCTTTGGTTCTTTCGGTAAAGTCACGTGGGTATAACATTAAATAAATCAGGACGTTTCGATCGCAACACAAGTGGTCGTCCTCAGGCGGAAAAAAATATAATCCAGCAGTGGAACTGCTGAACCAGCGAGAGAGCAGTTACAACAAGAGGTTATATATGTGGCACGTCAGTTGTGTTAATGGGGAGATTAGGGAGAGAGGGATTAGGGAGGGAGGTTAGCATGAATGAGCTTCCGTCGCCGCATAGGAGTATCATGTCCGCATATGCACACAACAGCAGTGTTAATGAGAGATTAGCACCATGACAGTGCAATCCAAAGGACATGTGAGCATGAGAGTGCAATCCAAAGCACATGTGAGCACCCTTATCATGAGTTCCCCGTGTTGGCTCGGCTTGGATATGCCAGTAAAAACAGGAGTATTTATGCAGAGTACAGCAATGGGCTTCATCATTGCAAGAACAACTGGAGCTCCTAAGTAATTGCTAATTGTGCGTTCACTCAGAGTATTTGCATATATAAACCAGCAGGGGAGTTGGCAAATGTGCAAGCGTAGCTGGCAAATCCAGCAGAGTTTGTCTGAACAATCTTTCTTATCGGCTGCAGACCCGTGTGGCATCGAGGATTAGAATGCATGTGTGGGTTAATTAGAGCACCTGACCCAGCATTGACATCTAAAGTGGCGAGAGTGTGTTTGCCGAAAATATCTTAACTCCATTGCAAATTTTTTTTCCACACAAAGGTACATCGTCGCACCGAGTGTTAAAGTTGCGAAAGTGTGTCGTCCTAAATAAAGCACACACGTTCGAAATGAACATCACATGCATACAAAAAATAAAAATGCATAAATAGAGGAAGCATACCAACACACAAAAGCCTGGTATGCTTGCCGTGATGACACGTGCGTTCGACTTTGAGATACCTGTTACAAGACAGCAGTGCAGACGGTTCAACCCCACGGTAAGATAAATTGCCCTCGACAGATCTTGAAGCCTTGCATTTCAGATTTTTTATTTTACCCGAACAACCAAGAACTTTGAATTTTGATCCACGGCAAGATAGAGAGATGTTAAGCGGACAGGCAGCTTTCATGATTCTGCCAAAGCGATGCATCACGGCCGACAGCCAACTCCAGCTAACCAACCACGACTTAACAAGAGACCTTGGGAGGCCTTGGCACTCGTGTGCCACGGTAAAACGAGTCGTGCCGTGCCAGCCACTTGCCTCGTTAACCCATGTGCGTCTCATGCAACCGTGGGCTGCACCAAACACCCGCATTCCGCCGTGCCAATTGTACAACCAAGGCACCCCGAATGTGACCAAATCTCGTCGTGATCTCAGACGGTGAAGCGTAGCTGAGCCCCAGTGAGTGCACGCATGGGTGACCCGCCAGCGCGTGGGGCTGCGAGGTGACCAGGAGATGACAGCACAGCAATGCATTTGTCTGTGTTGATGGAGTCTGTAGGATGAAATCTAATGAATTTGTGTGTGGGATGGAGTCTGTGGGATGGAATCTGTGGAGTGGAATCGAATTAATTTGTCTGTGGGATGGAATCTAATGAATTTGTCTGTGGGATGGAATCTGTAGGATGGAATCGAATGAATTTGTCTGTGGGATGGAATCTGTGGGATGGAATCTAACGAATTTGCCTGTGGGATGGAATCTGTGGGATGGAATCTAATGAATTTGTCTGTGGGATGGAATCTGAAGGATGGAATCGAATTAATTTGTCTGTGGGATGGAATCTGTGGGATGGAATCTGTGGGATGGAATCTAATAAATTTGTGTGTGGGATGGAATCTGTGGGATGGAATCTGTGGGATGGAATCGAATGAATTTGTCTGTGGGATGGAATCTGTGGGATGGAATCTGTGGGATGGAATCTAATGAATGTGTCTGTGGGATGGAATCTGAAGGATGGAATCGAATTAATTTGTCTGTGGGATGGAATCTGTGGGATGGAATCTGTGGGATGGAATCTAATGAATTTGTGTGTGGGATGGAATCTGTGGGATGGAATCTGTGGGATGGAATCGAATGAATTTGTCTGTGGGATGGAATCTGTGGGATGGAATCTGTGGGATGGAATCTAATGAATGTGTCTGTGGGATGGAATCTGAAGGATGGAATCGAATTAATTTGTCTGTGGGATGGAATCTGTGGGATGGAATCTGTGGGATGGAATCTAATGAATTTGTGTGTGGGATGGAATCTGTGGGATGGAATCTGTGGGATGGAATCGAATGAATTTGTCTGTGGGATGGAATCTGTGGGATGGAATCTGTGGGATGGAATCTAATGAATGTGTCTATGGGATGGAATCTGTGGGATGGAATCTGTGGGATGGAATCTAATGAATTTGTATGTGGGATGGAATCTGTGGGATGGAATCTAATGAATGTGCCTATGGGATGGAATCTGTGGCATGGAATCTGTGGGATGGAATCTAATGAATGTGCCTATGGAATGGAATCTATGGGATATAATCTGTGGTATGGAATCTGTGGGATGGAATCTAATGAATGTCTATGGAATGGAATCTGTGGGATGGAATCTGTGGGATGGAATCTAATGAATTTTTCTGTGGGATGGAATCTATCCGTGTGGAGCTTCAAGTATTGTCCCCTCATACGTGGAAGTTTTTTCCGCTCACCCTGGGATTTCTTCCCACCTTCGTGAAGATGTCCCAAACGCCCCGATGTTTAAAACACCCATGAAAATTACTCTCAAGACTCAGTGAGCGTTTTTTTCCCCCGTGAAAATAAAGAGCAACATTTATTACACCAGTTAAGAGAGGTATGCAAAGTTGTGCTACAGTATACAATTACAACAGCACAAAATCACGTATATACAGAATCCATTATGAACTCAAATGTCTGCTGTCACCCAGTAGCATTTACATATCAAAGCAATCTCAGTAAACCGATATACTTTTATTTTAATCACAGTTTGTTGATAATTTTCAGGCTAAATGTTTCCTCTACAGTAAACTCTATATTCTTGGTTCTTTCGGTAAAGTCACGTAGAAGGGAAACAATTAAATAATTTTAAAAAACATATATATAAAACAATACAATTCTCACGACGTTTCGACTGCAACACAAGCAATCATCATCAGGTGTGAATACCACAGCAAGAAATTTTGAAAAAAAATATTGCTGTGGTTTTCACACCTGATGATGATTGATTGTGTTACAGTCGAAACGTCGTGAGAATTTTATTGTTTTATACATTTATTTTATTTTATTGTTTCCCTTCTATGTGACTTTACCGAAAGAACCAAGAATATGAATCCCTGCAGTCACGAAAGCTTTAAATCAAAAGTAAACTCTATGTTAGAAATGAATTCTTCACGTGATTTCATTGCATACTTGGATCACACACATCTTTGTTTTTTTGTTGTGCGTACATTTATTGCTGGGATCATCTACCGAATAACATAAATACACCAGAAAAAACGCTTCTCCGGATAACGTCATTGTAAACACGTTAATTCAGGATCGCTTCCATCAAGCCGCGTTCTATCTACTGCTGGATCAAGGCCTCCACTCTCCCAAAACGACCGCCATGTGTCACGGCCTCTAGTTGGAGCAATCTGTCTCGCCCCGGCACGTGAGCCGATGGCTTCATTGCACCGTCTCCAAGGTGGCTCTCACTCAGTGGTGTTTTCATTCCTTCAGCTGCCAATTTCATCGTCAGTTCTCGAGCACCGACCGTTAATTCCCCCCCCCACCCTCCAGCGATGCGTCTTGTGCCCAAGCCCCCGCTCGCCTTTTCCCCGGACAATCGATGCGATGCACCTCCTATTAGCATTTGGTTCTGCGCTCCGCACGCTCCTGTGTCTCGCCTCTCGTTGCAAATGTCAAGCGCCGTGGCTCCTTGCGCTTCTCTGCGCGATTTTCAGGCTTTGGTTACAGCACATTTTGCGTCGGCGTCCACGTGTTTACGGGAAATTATTCCGTTAATTATAACTTCTTAACAGGAAAATTAGTGTAATTTTCAGCAATCAATTACACTTAATAGGCGCTAACACTGAATCCTCCGAAGCGCAGAGTGCAGGCCCACGTTTAACGTCCTCTTATCTGTAAGCGGCGTATTGTGCGGGCATTAGCATCGACCCAAAAGAAAAGTGTTTTATTACGTCGTCAAGTTGACGATGGTTGTTTTTCTCATCAGATGGGCCATTAATGTACAGGCATGGACAGCTTGGCATCACAGTGCCAGGCCGATATTGCTCACAAAAGGCCAAAAATCATGGCGTAATTGCAAGCCACGGAATCTCATTAGGGCCATTACTCCTGCAATGAGGCATGATGAATTACTTACAAATGGCTCATAGTAAAGTAATAATTGACAATTGCTATCTTTGAATCAATCGATTCACATTGAGATTTCAATATTTTTTGAGCGTTTTGCTATTCTCATTATTTTTGCACAAAAAGTGATCAAATTAATCCCCCCCCCCTACCCCACCCCACCAACCAATTTTACGATTTCACACAATTCAGTTTTGACTCGATGAGAGATTCAAATTTGTTCTTTGCAGTGATAGTCCATGGGCCAGAACGTAAATTGTTATCACCTAATATTGCAAAACTTAGTCATATCAATTTATTTATATAGCCAATCAGAGTTTATTTTTTTACAATCCACAAAACTTCAAACGACTATCATCTCATTCACTGTTGTTGGCCACATGGATCAAATGGAACCACGTGTTATGCCACCTCAGGTGGCCCTGACACGTTCAGTATTTGGCTCATAGAATGACTAATAGAGCCTCTAATGGCTGCAGGGACGACATCGCATAGAGATGGAAAAACCATCGATTCATAGACATGTATCGTGAGCTTTTAAGAATCAACAAACGGATGACTTGTTAACAAAATGGGACCTTTTTTTGCCAGGATCAAAGCATGAAAAAATAAGAATAGTTGTGACTTTTTCTGGCAATTAAACAGTTGTGTTAAGATGTTTAAACACCAAATAGAAACCTTTTTGCAAGGAATCATGTCTGCGTTAGCCGCACACACTTGTAGTGAACATGCACACAAAACATGCCCTGATTATAATACGCGGTCTTTGAAACTGGCTGGTCTACACCAGAGACAGCTTTCTTTCAGGCCTAGTCTCACTACCAGTGTCAGACCAGAGAATGCCAAAAGGCGAACGGTACAAAGACAACGCCACTGTCAACTACAAAATGGGGCCATTTCTTTATGAATTGGAACAATTGGGTTGAATTGTTCCACGCCGGATTATACGGTCCTTGTCGCTTCTTTCAAAAGCCACCGTTGCCTTGAATGCCTCACCGCGTAGGAATGACCGAACGATTCCGCGAAGGTGAGGGGCCGTGCGGGGCGTGCTTGAATCACGCCCCGATAGACGGTCTTGTGCTCGAGAGTTGGAAGCGTATGCACGAGCATGTCGGTTATTCAGGAGGGGGTCGCACCCTTGCTGGGTGTGCGTCTGGTCACGTCCGAACAGAACGTACCCCAGTCCCGACCCACTCACCGCTGGTGATCTCGCTCGCGAAACTTAGAGAGAGCGGCTACGAATAGAGCGGGCAATGCGACAGAGTCGTCTGTGCACAAGTTTTCGAAAGCTACAGGCAATCGAGGGGATAAATCGAGCCCTCGTTAGGTGCCCTAGCCTGCTGCTGCCTCGTGAAGGGTGACTCACGTGTTCACGCTCATTCCTACTTTTTTGTTTACGAGACAAAGCCGTTAATCACGCCGCATTTTCGTAATAAACACATTTTTTTTTTAAATCATTATTTTGATTTTTTTCCATAGTCCCTGAAGTGCAACAGCACGTGTGAAAAAGCGGCTTGAATCACAACGGATTTATCAAAACATAACTGTGTGTCAAATTAGATTTGAAGCTTTCCTGACTGCAGGAATTACTCGTTGGTTCTTTCGGTAAAGTCAAGTGGAAAGAAAATAAATTAGTATTGAGAATTATTAAAGAAAATAACTATTATCTAATTTATTTCCTTTCTACGTGACTTTACCGAAAGAACCAAAGAGTAATAACTGTGTAAGAATATGAAATAGTAATAACTATGTTTGGCACACTGAAACGTACGGCATATTATGAAGAGCACAAAGATGCAGCCCTGAAATGCCTTGCGTATGCCACTGATGGCAGAAGGGCCTCCCCTCGAGGGTAACTTGGCCAACGCTTCCATGCTGACCAGATGTCTTGGAAGTGGTGTGAGTACCCACAATTTATCCCACCGCACCCGACCTGCCAATCGACGGTGGGGTTACTCCTTCATACTGCTGGGTAGACAGCTGCTGTGGGCATTCTTCAAGAGATCTGGAAAGGTTTCAAACACAATAGCGGCACCGGCTGCACACACAGAGCTACGTGTGTTGGGATGTCCCACTAATAAACTACAAATGTGGCTCAATCTTGATCGAGTACTATACTGGATATTGCTTGCAAGCAAATTCCAATATACAATTCTTCATAAGCACATTTCACACGTTGGTTCGTATCAGCCTATTGTATACATCGTGATTCCCTTAATCAGCTTAGAATCAGGAGTCCGACGAGCTGTGAAGAAGCTCCTTTGTTGGCGCGCAGGTGGTGCCGAGTCGATTAATACAACGCAGGGTCATGAGAGGCGGCTGCGGTTTCACCACGCTTTCACCCAAGCGGTGGATTGACCGCGGCTGAACGACGATACCTGCAGACAACGCCTAGACACTGGGAAGGCAGCGGCGGCGATCCACGGGCGCGCCCAGCTCAGGGCTTGGTTCTGGCCGGAGTAACTCGTTGCGCAGCGGCGCCCAGTGCCACCTGACGGATGGAGGAACCGAACTGCAAGGTACTCAGCGTTTCTCCGCGGTTTGCGTCGTCCGCGCTCACGGTGACAAACACACACGCCTGCCGGGAGACACACGCACGTACGAACACACACACACACGGTAACAGCATCACCACCACCGCCGCCACCATCATTATCATCATCAAGATAAAAAAAATTGCCATCACTGATTTCAACAGACAAGCCTGCCAATGCGACGTTGTGGTCTCAGGTTTGCTAAACGATACCCACTTCCATGTAAGTATTACGTTGAACTTCTCTCGCACCGTACGTAGCAAGGCATGCTAATTAGAGGTACGGGGAAGGACAACAAACTCAACACAAAAAAAACGTGTCTTAAAAATGAAGGTTGTACTGCTCTGCGAGACACCCGAAATATACTTCATCTCGTGACATGACGTTGATAGCCCGATTGTGGAAAAAAATAAAACTGGAAAAATGACAAATACAAACAAGCCTGCCACAGAACACAGCGTATTGTGACACGGCGCTTTGCAAATAAGTAAATAACTAAATAAATACTGTACTGGGCGTCATTATCATTGTCATCACAAATTCAACATCTTCGTTTTTGAGAAGGCAATCCCTGGACGTGCACGGGTTAATCTCCTTGAACCTGTCGCTGGGATACGGCGGTGTTTGGGGCGCATCCCTGCTGGGTGGTGGATGTGGAACTCCTCTCTGGGGAAAACACCCAGAGGGGTCTTGGACAGAGAACACGGAAAGAAGGTGCCATGAACCAGCTGCGTCCAGGAGAAGAATACAACTCTGATTTCAAAACCCGGGATAGATGAGGCCTTGGTAGCTTTGGAAGGCAGCCGGCTGAGGAAAAGGGAACTGATTTAAAATTAACGTCTCCCATTCCGGATTGGGTCACCACGGAAAGGAAGAGCCAAACTCCCCCCAATATCCATCTCATGGAACTCAGTACAAGCCAGACTCCCATATCCAGGAGTCCGGCCAACCCCATGCAGCTGGTGTCAGTGGCAGTGTTTTTGTCAAATCACCTCCAACATCACGAAATCATCTGTCAACACAACTCTGGTCATGCCCTTCTTTGTCTGGGTCATCAAAACGTGGGAAGGAATTTTAAAAGTAAGCACAGGCGGTTTGAAATCGGTTTATTGCTGCACGATTAACAACCGAGTGCGGTACGATAATGTATATGATGTATAGGCTCATTGTCAGGTGCCTTGAAGTGGTTCAACAACAACAAAAACCACGATATGAATCTGATTTATTATTACCATCATCACTTATCATGAAGAGCACTGTCTGAGTCATCATCCATTTTTTTACGTCTTGCCGGATAAATTACTTTCAGCGTTTACGACTAAATACATCCACTATTTACTTCCAGAAAATTGTACCTAAAAATCTAAAAAAAAAATGTGACATTCGGCACGGAATAATCAAAGCCTCTTCGATTCAATGAATTGTCACAAATCAAGGACGCGATTCGATTTCAAGATTCCGTTTTTGCTGTCGTTTGCACTCGTGCTAAATATAAAGCACACATCGCCAAGAATGTACAGAATAAAATATGCAGCCGTACGAATCTGCGAAATCTATAGCGGCATAAATATACTGTGCAGCAGAATGAAACAAAACAAACGATGGACACACGCGAATCGTAAAAACGTGAGTTATTTCCTACACGGGCGATGTTCTGCACGTATCATAAGTGCAATAAACCACGCCAATCAACAAATTGTTACAGCCCTACTTACAATGTTGGAATATGATTTATGTTTTTTTTGTGTGTGCGCGTGTGTCCACCCCTCCACGTGCGTTTTACCGTTGCGGTTTCCGTCCCATCGATGCGTTTTCCCGTTGCCCTTTCTTCTCGAAAAGCATTTCGCCGATGGCAAACGTTTTGAGGATGAACAACACTGGGTCGGTGATGCTTCGCAATTTGCGTCTCTAAAATGTGCGCCTCTCTTCGTCGTTGGGAGTTACGCCGAAAATATATTGCGTAAATAAATGAATAAGACGATACATACTTCGTACGATTTGTTAAACAAGACCCAGCAAATTAAAAAAAAATGCTTGATGTTTTTTTTTCCTCCTTCAATGACTTTTTTTTTTAATCTACAGTAGCATTCACGTGAGCGCTGACCCTTATGTTACAGTTACGAGGAGGATGCGCTTGAGCAATGCCAGACCTAATTGAGTGTGACCAGCGGCGGGCTGGTCTGTAATTCGGGAAAGAGGCAGTGATAAATGCCCTAAACTTGATAAATTAGTTTATGACATAATAGAAGATTTTTGGGTTAGAATGCGTAAATATATAAATGTGTCGTTAAAACCCGCCACCACCCGACACAGCCAACTAGTAAGGGTTGTCACGTAAACAGAACGTGGCCAATTCGTCACTAGTACAGCACACCGGTGTGTTGGAGAGCCAAGCCACAACATTTACAATCTGAGTACGACGTTTCGCCAGTAATTACACCTAGCTTCATCAGGTGACAGCCAGATTTGTGGAGAAGTCTACCTGTTTCGTTTCTTATATAGCGGCGTAGATGTGTTGACCACACTTATATATTTACGCGATCTAACCCAGAAAACCTCTATTATGGATGATATTGGTCGCGAAAGACTACGTGTTAAACTAGTTCGTGACAAATTCATTACTCTCGCCTATTTGAATTGTGGCAGGCGCAACAAGGAACAACAAACGCTGACACCGAAACGTCACTGGAGAGGATTCCAACCGCGTGCGTTTCAAACGTCCCTCGTTGATTTCCTTCATCTGCCGCGGCCAATTCTTTATAAGTGGCGGCACGTTTTCCATAATCGCTTGTCAACGTAACTTGAACATTGACCGTTTAAGTACGATTCAACTTATAGCCGCTGCAAAGCCATTTGGCCTTGTTGCAATCAGTCAATGCGCATTACGAATTGACAAGCGGTGAAATTGGCGACTTCCAATGTAGAACAATCATCAAGGGCGTGTTAATTAAGGCAGAACTACAACACATTTTTTTTTCATACGCACAAAAAGCTTCCGTACGCACGTTTGTTTATGTCAATATGCCGGTACACACAAGAATAGGATTAATAAAATGTACCACATTTTATCAGTTTATATTTCACAGCAAGAAGTGATGACAGTTTGAGGTGGCCCAATGGTCCAGGTGTTAGGGCGCTGAGCAGGCACCAATGGCATTCTGGGTTCCAATCTGAGTTTGAGCCACAGCCTGTGATTAAACCGGGTTCTCAAGTGCATCGAGCTGACGGTTTTAGCCCGGTCCCCAATGATTGCACAACAAACCCCGTAATATTTCGTTTTAGTTTGTATTAAATTTCGCAAAATTATACCTCTGGGAATGAAAAATATCAGTTTGGCTGCCATGCTAGGAATATGTTCTCTGCGCAGGGTGTGTGGGAAAACGCTCTGCTTAGTTTGTGGATTTAAAAAAAAAGGAATTTGAAGGGGTTTTGAACACAGTCCTGTGAAGTTAGCTTCTCCAGACCATTCTTAAATACAAAGGGGTCGCTTTGTGAGGGGATCCCCAATGGACGTTTTCCTGACGTAATGTTAATTAGTAGAATTGTAAATCGGGTTTACGAAGAAGAAAAAAAACAGAACAAAACCCCGAATGTAATGGTGGAAAAAAATACAGGGTGCTCCATCTACAGAAAGCACACTGCTATCTCGTAACCCGGCCCTTGTGCAGTACGGGATTGGTGCGAAAGGGATGGACGTTTTCTTGGTTTTTTCGGTAAAGTCACGTCGAATGGGAAATAAAATAATAAAAATAAAACACAATAAAATAAAATTCTCGCGACGTTTCGGCCACAACACAAGCAGCCTTCTTCTGAAGCGTCGTGAGGATTGCATTTTATTATGTTTTATTTGTATTATTTTACTTCCATTCTACGTGGTGACTTCACCGAAAGAACCAAGAAGATGAATCCCTGCAGTCACGAAAGCTCTAAATCGGATGGCCGTTTGTTGGCTTGGCCGAGGTGGGAACAATTGCGCGGTCGCCGAGGTCACCTGACACAACCCAAGTGGATTTTCTCTGGTGGAGTTACATCGGACATCACGTCGTGCGTGCGTGCGTGTGTACGCACGCGACAAAATACGTGAGGCATCGCTGACTTCAACTGAAGGATCATGGAAGCTTCTAAGGCGGATCACACCGGCTATGTTGGATGAAGTGCATCGGGAGAGTGTTCAAAATGTATTGGGGTTGACAGAAGACATGCAGAGGGTTCGAATTTAAAATGTTTTGCGTCTATAGTTTCTCCCTATTATTTTAGTAGGGAATTAATGAGGGAAGCTGTTGCATGCGGTGGGGTAAAGTGTGGGTATTCCCACCTCTTCCAAGATGTCTGGCCTGTTGCAGAGTTTGTCAAAACAGGGCTCTCAAGAGCTTGCTCCAGTGGAGGCCCTACCACCAGCAGTGGTAGGGCGAGATGGTAACTATCTCCCCTGGTGTATAGGAGGTCGTGGGTCAGATCCCGACCCTGACGCCTGCTTTATATTCTTGGAGTTTGCATGTCTCTCCCCGTGGTCGCGTAGATTTTTCTCTCTTGTTCCTCAGGTTCTGTACACTCCACATTTACGCAAACGTGCGCTCAGAGCGTTTGGGCTGCTTTAAAATGCCCACGTGATAAACCGCTTTGTGGAGCTGTCATTTGCGACCTGGTTGCTTCTGAAAAGGAGCTAAATAGCTCAGTGGGCCTTACCTGGTAACGTAAATATAGTTGAAATCGCGTCAAATTATCTTCCCTCCATGCTAATGCACGGCGCATGACAACAATTCTCGCGGACATTGAGTGGCGTTCGTGAGAGGACAAACCTTTGCGTTCCCACCCAGGGCTGGCTGCAGGAGGTGGGTGAGCTTGGAGTTCCGGTAGGGCACGTGCAAGGAGCCATTGCGTAGGGCTAGGAACACCTGTGCACAGTCACACAACACAACCAGGTCAAACCGCCCAGCCGCCCGCGTTTTATTGCACACCCCCCTTCACAACAAACGCGATGCGCAGCTCTCCGTCGGGTTATCGGGTTGCACCACGCGAAGCTCGGCGTTTGTCTCACACGTGCCCGGCAGCTGCTTTGGGAGCTCAAAACGATGGACATCACGTGGGGCGACACGAGGTAGAAACTGAAAGCAAGTCGGGGTGCGATGCAGCACAACCGTAAACAAACAAAAAAAATCTACGCAGTGGTATAGACTAACGGTCTATGCCTCACGCCTGTAAAACTAAACAAAAACTCAACTATTTTTTTTTTATTTCACAAGGTAAGGTTCACTGAGCTTTGTTTCAGAAGCGACCTGGTCACAAATGACAGCTCAACGAAGTGGCTTATCACGTGGGAATTCAAAGCAGCCAAATACTCCAAACGCACGTTTTTTAAATGTGGAGGGAAAAACCTGGGGTCCAGGAGAAGCATAACTACCACAGGGACGGAAACATGCAAACTCCAAATATACAGCAGGCCTATGTGTGTGTCTCTGTGTGTCTCTGTGTTATCTCTCTCTGCTTATGTGTCTGTCTTTGTGTCTCCGGTTCTGTGTTTTATCTCTCTCTTAAATTTAGCAATCTTTGGAAGAACGTAATCAACCAGGTAGGGTGTTGACTGCTATGTTAGCCGACTATCTGTGTTGTATTGCATTATATTTCTAAGTTTACAAGGTTTAAATTTTGATTTATTGCTTTCGTGACTGCAGGGATTCATATTCTTGGTTCTTTCGGTAAAGTCACGTAGAAGGGAAACAATAAAATAATAAAAATATAAAACAATAAAATTCTCACGACGTTTCGACTACAACACAAGCAATCATCATCAGGTGTGAAAACCACAGCAAGAAAATTTAAAAAATTTGAAAAAACCCGCCACTTTTTTCAAAAAATTTTGCTGTGGTTTTCACACCTGATGATAATTGCTTGTGTTGCAGTCGAAACGTCGTATGCTATTATTTAATTTATTGATTTCTCTTTCTACGTGACTTTACCGAAAGAACCAAAGAGTATACAGCAGGCCTTAGGGTCGGGATCTAACCCACGACCTCCTGCATACCAGGCGAGGTAGTTAACATCTCCCCACGGCGACACCTGTGCGCCCCACATGTGCTTGTGATGCAGTGCGGGGCACCACGGTTGGCATGGGCCCTAGTGCAAGGAATTAATGGGGTCCCCTGGCCATGCCTGGGTCCTGGTTGCAGTTCCACCATCTGCACACTTGATAATACGAAACTTAACGCATTCGTCAGTAACACTGCCGTTAAAAAAGAAAAGAAAAAACAAATATGCGTGCAGTGAAATGTATGTGTGTTCAACTTATGTCGCACTGTACATAGCCAACTGTGCTGATCGGAGGTGCAGGGAAGGACAATGAAAGGTAACCCAAAAAGCAGTCACGAAGAAATTCGTTTTCAATCGATATGTAAGTGTGCGTAGCTCCAGTGGCTTACTAATATCGGAAGGAAGAGCGTTCCAGACGGCCGCAGAAGGGCATCTGAAAGCGAGCGGATGCGGTGACCGCCGTCTTTGTTCAATGGATGGCCAGCCAAAAGCCGCTGCGAGTATGAAATATATTGCCCATTCTATTTCCCCCCCCCCGGCACCTCCGATTAGCACGGTTGGCTACGTACGATGCGACAGAAGTTCACCATGCATACGTACGTACGTGGAGAAGGGCCATTGCCTGAAATGTCGGCTGTTATCGTTTTATTTTGTTCTATTTAGGGCAGTGCTATTGACGAATGCTTTGAGATGTCGCTCTACGTGTGCTTGTGCGCCACTGCCAACGCAGCATCATCAACCGAGGAGACACTTGGAAGCAATGCCCAGGTCGCAATAACCCTGCACAGGAGTGTAATGCACACCTTCAGCATTGCTCACTGCTGGAGGATCATTGTTAAGTATTCAGAAATGTATGGATTCATCAGTTGCTAATGATTCTTGAGCTCATGTTTAATGCATCGAATTGCATGCGTGAGAATCAATGTCCTTCAATCTCTGTACGTCGTAAGTAATGAGTCCATGTCAACCCAGCGACCAATCGAGGTGCTACCATTAACCAGGATGTTGGATACATGAAGAAGGGCAGCACTAGGATTGATTATAATCAATAATTATTGAATCGGAATGTCAAGTCGAGCAACGGTTCGCATTCAAATCGGGGTGAGAGAGTAGTGCTGTAGTTGACTGACCCCAAGAAACTACCCAGCAATTGCTTGCTGTACATTTACAACGTTCATAGAACGTTTCTACACGTAACTCTATTGTGAATATCATATAAAATAGCAACAATTTATTCATATTTTTAAAAAATTTAGTATAAATCTTGACTTAAAGCTTTCGTGACTGCAGAAATTCACATTCTTTGGGTCTTTCGATGAAGTCACGTAGACAGGTTCAAACAAAAGAACAAAAACTAATGAAAAAAAATTCGACGTTTCGATCTCAACACAAGCGGTCGTCATCAGGAAAAAGGGGGGTCGGCTTAAAAATGGGCGGTTAGCTTCTAAAGGCAAACTGTTTGTGAAGGTAGCAGCCAATGTTAATGTAAGTGGTGGGCTGCCAGGTAACAATTAGCATGTTAATGTCAGATCGCTGAGCGGCCTCCACGGCGAGCGTGCCGAGTGCCACCTCGCGCGCCAACCTCTAGGTTGGTGCGAGGCGATCTGACATTAACATGCTAATTGTTACCTGGCAGCCCCACCACTTACATTAACATTGGCTGCTACCTTTACAAACAGTTTGCCTTTAGAAGCTAACCCCCCGTTTTTAAGCCGACCCATTCTTTTCCTGATGACGACCGCTTGTGTTGAGATCGAAACGTCGAATTTTTTTGTTTGTTATTTTCTTTGAACCTATCTACGGGACTTCACTGAAAGACCCAAAGATTATTAGCTAGTGTAACATTCAATTGCAAAGGGGTTAGGTGGGTGGGTTTGAAAGTCCCATTAATAAAAAAAGCACGACTTTCCCAACTTCAAGGCGCTCTTAATATCTTACAAGAGATAGGTCAATCCGAACATTCACGGGATAAGCCACGTGGCCTTTGACAACAAGAACACCGATTTGCGTGCCAGTGCCGATTTGAAAGACGACCTCCGTCGCAAGAAACTGCAACCAATGGGGTTTCTCACGGTAACTTCCACGGGCAGTGGTGATGTGGCCTAAGCGTCTCTCGGGGGTGACTCAGCGTCAGCACACTGATCTGGCACAGCGAAAAATCCCCCTTTCAAATTCAGGCAATAACCCAGCATTAAATCTGTGGGTTAGGCCAGCTTCTTCGGGCGTAGTGAGTCGATAGTCTCAGCTCTGTCATCAATGACTCATCAATAAAACAACAAACATCATGAAATATTGTTTTCACTTTACCCTTTCCCATTACGATGACGTATGTGTACGTCATCAGTTTTACTTCCATGAAAGGCCATGCGGGAGGGCGTGTGGCACAGTTTGACGCCAGCTATCGCAGAGTTGCGGTCGTGTCGCTACAGTTATCTATGGTGAGTAACAATGTCTTTGAAAACAACGGCGCTACGCCTCTCTAAATAAAATGAATGCCGAGCCGCTTGCACGTTTGGAGATTCAGCAGTGAACGGGACACACACACCCTGCAACTTACAGGCGTCTCGGAATGGGAAAGGGTCAATTTGGCAAATTCCAGCTTTCAGAAATTATTGGCATGCGAGTGAACACGATGAGCCGAGTATTAAAGATCTGCCTCCAGTGCGACTCAAGGGACTTCCACTAAACAGTACAATCTTCTTGGTGATGTACAGGATCTTTATCAAGAATCGTATTGTCCGCTATCATATGCCACATCAGCAGAACGAGGTCTATGGATCATAGGAGTTTTTTTTTATGAATCCCACAGCTCCTTCGGAAAATAGAAGTTGTGGGTAACAGTGTCGCGGAGAAAACCGAGTTCTCATGTATTTCTGTAAATTCGTCTTCTGGGGCAGTTCTCTCACACAGGATGGTGCACTGTCAGCTGTGACATTTTAGAAAGCAAGTGTCGTTGAATGAAGACGCGATGTGCACAGAACAAATTGAATTGAGAACTAGAAACTATTTTTTATTTTACCAGATAAGGCCCACTGAACTGTTAGCTTTTTTCAGAAGCGACCTGACCACGAATTATAGCTCAACGATATGGCTTATCGCGTGGAAATGTATAGCAGTCAAATACTCTAAATGGATGTTTCTCAATTTTATTTGACCGAAAAAAATGTATAGCTCGCAGGAGTTATAGCTATCATGAGTGTAATGATTAGTAGTGCTGTCACACGTGAATAAAGTATGCATAATTCTCTATTGACTGCTAATGAAAGTATACACTGGATTGGCACAACTGGATGAGAGTGGAAATGCTCAGTTGCCCCGTAGACCTTGAATCATTGGCAACCAATTGTCAGTACTCATGCGGTGATTCATAAACATTTCTAATGCATGTAGATGGCCTACTGCTAAAATAGCATGCGATGCACTCGACACAATTCTAGATTTGAAGCTTTCGTGACTGCAAGGATCCATACTCTTTGGTTCTATTCGGTAAAGTTACGTAGGTTGTTTTATTTTTTACCTACGAGACTTTACCGAATAGAACCAAAGAGTCGACACAATGTTACCCTACTTTCACTCAACACTGCAGTGAAAATAACTGGGCAGGATAGTATCTAATTGGGGTGGCTCACCGGAGTTATGGTCAGCGCACTGGACTTGCAATCCGGAGGTCGCTGGTTCAATCTCCTGGATGGCATTTGGAACGGAGGTGCAAGTCTCTTAAATCCCGCTGCCTCTACCCACCCAGAGGGATTCCCCGCATTTAGTCGATTGGCAGGTCGCGTATGGTGGGGCAACGTGTGGCTGCTCCCACCTCCGATTGGCTCGGTTGGCTACATGCGGTGCGAAAGAAGTTCAACGTACATACTGGCCTGCGTGGTGGAGTCGGTGAAATATCCTCTGCAGAGGGGTTTTCCAGTACTCCACCTTGTGCGCGCAGCAGCGTGAGCAAGCGATTGCAGGGCAGCACCTTTACCGCTGACAGTACCTAATATTGAATAAGCATCGTGACTGATTGGTGCCAATTACGATGCAGTTTTAATACGGCCAGAAAGCTGAAACGTGGTATAAATATAGTTGTGTTTGTGAATACTGTACCGAGATGAATCTTCAAATGTCAATTAAAAATCCAAAAACTAAAACCTTTGATTTTTGAAGATTTTTTTACTTTTAGTCTCTGAACCAAGGTAAAAAAAAATTTCACCTGGAGGTTTTGACGAGTGCTGAATCCAAATATGGCATCGATTGCTCATTAACCACATTTATTGAGCGATTTTTTTCGAAGAACGTGATACAGCCTGTTATATACCTTTATGTTAAAGGATGTGTTATTTGTGCTTGTCCACAACTGCCAAAGCAGGGACATTACCAAACAATTTGTTTAACAAAAAAATGGGTACAGTCTGCTACCAGTAACTCGTAGGGGATATAACAACATCATCAACCATGACCTATCCACTGTTCGATGAAGACCTGCGCATGCTTTTGCCATCCTTCAATCATCAATGCCACAATTGATTTCACTCCTTCCCAAGAGCTGACTTCATTAATCCATCTCCACCTGTCCAAATGTTCCGCTCAATTGGCTTCCATCCTGTTACAAGTCTTGCCCTATCAGCTATCATCTCTTGCAGCCACGATTCGTCCCACCATCACCGAATTACCGTTTCTTAACAGCCATCGTGGCGTCTCTAATTTCCATTTGTTCTCTGACACACGTGTCCTTCTGTGTCTTCGCTCAATGCCGAGCATGGATTACTCCATGCATCCTTGCATCCTATGATCCCTGCCTCCAAAGCCCACGTTCCTTCTGTAGCGCAGTGTACATGTAAAGCTAAAACGTAAAATGCCCTTTGCAAAAGCGAGCACATAATTAAATTAATCCCTTATGTAAGAGTAACCTTTTTTGTAGAATTAGTTACGTCACGAGTTTTTTCTTTCTTTCTATTTTAGCCGAGGGCGATGTTCAAGGTTCGTATATAAAATTAGTAATGAGAGCTTAGGCTGCTCTGTATCAGGAGGCCATTACCGTGGACTTTACAGCTGATAGCTCACGAGCGAGCACGGTTGGCTGCGTACGGTGCGAAAGAAGGTCAACGCACATAGATACATTCATGAGCGGTTAAAGTACCAAACACTCACCTATACTGCGCATTTGGATACATCTTACGGTGCAATGGTCATCACACTGGACTCGCAATCCAGAGGTCGCCGGGTTCGATTCGATCTCTTGGCACGGCATTTGAAACAACGGCGCAAGTTCATTACATCCTCCCTGCCCGCCGTCCAGCCAGCAGTATAAATGGGTAACAGCAGAGTTAGTCGATCGGCGGGTTGCGTCTGGTGGGAGCGAAGAGTAGCTACTCCCACTTCTTCAAGGACGTCTTCTTCAAGGACGTCTGGCCAGCATGGAAGAGTAGACCAAAGGTACACCTCTAGAGCGGTGGTTCTCAGAGTGCGGTGGTCCCCATACCATATCTCGAGCATGGAGTGGTCTTCCGCCAGCAGTGGCATGGATGGTTGCTTGTCGGCTCTGATAGTTCAAACGTGCGTTAATTCGCCTTAGTAATGATGGACCAGTGTGTCAGCAGGTATCGATGCGATCGACACCAATTCTTGAGTACACGTTTTTAAAATGTGCACATCTCATACATGACGGGTGACCCAGGCAGCCTCTAGAAGCCACTAAATTTCAGCACAATGCGAAAGAAAAATGTTATACAAAGGCGCACTGAGCACCGAGGGAAACGAAATAAAATAACAAAGGCAACCTCTACTGCCCACTGGTGGACGGACACGAACTATAGTAATTGCGCTGTGGTGACACTTTACGTAATAATACAAAGAAACGCAGCGCACATTCATTTAATCTCGCATGACCATTTTGTGCAAGTAAGATTAGACTACACGTGCTAGCGAGTATTGACTAAGCGGAACGTAATAGGATAATTAATTTAATCACTTTGATACGAATCATAAAAATTGACGTTAAAAAAACACACACCGTGTAAACGGCATTGAATGGCAAAGGGGTGTGTGTGTGGGGGGGGGGGGGAATGGCTGCGTTTTGCAGAGAGAGAGTGAAAGTCATTGAAGGTCCCCGCCAAAATATTTGTACGCTTATATTGAGTCGAGTCGAGGGCGTGGGTGGGAGAGGTGCCGCAGAGGTCAGAGCACCGAGTTCGAGTCCCGGCCACGATTAACAACAACCGTTTGACTGGGCACCCCCTCCTGCCTCATCATCATCAATTACACAGCCCATTCTCACCGGCGCTCCTCTGGTGAGGTGTGGCTCAATAACAAGCCATGAATAAAAGGCGTACGGAAGGCGGTGGACCAAAAAAAGGCTGTGATTTTTGTTTTGTTTAAGCCTACGTTGACGCAGTCATGATTCTTTTACAGATATAAGTGGCTTATAATATTACTAATAACATAGTTTATTTTTTTCTGGGTAAGATCGTGTAAATATAAATGTGTCGTTAAACCCGCCATCACCCGATACAGCCAATTAGTAAGGTCTTTCACGTATACAAAACATGCCAAAACATGCCATTTTGTTAGTAGTTCAGCACACCGGTGTGTTGGAGAGTAAACCCACAACATTTACAATTCGAGTACGACGTTTCGCCAGTAATTACAACCAGCCCCACCAGGCAACAGCCAGAGTTGCAGAGAATAATAATACTGGAAAAATATATAATCATAAGGCATGTGAATATTCATCTTATATTCATCCATATTCACCAGCGATTCAATTCATTATGATTTGACGTTGCAATTCTACAGAATAATCAATTCTCTCTCACCAATGTTTTCACGTCTCATTCGTATTTATTTAAAAGTGTAATTTTGAAATATCAAGTATATACAATGTGCATGAATTTCAAACAATCGATTCTCACACGCACAATTCAATGCATTTATCCAGTACGTAATAACCTATTTAAATCTATGAATGAATTAATTAATGCTTCCTTATAGGCCAAATTTCATGCAGCCCTCCAACTGTTTGCTCTCAGCACAGCTGGTAGAAAGGGCTTCCGGTAGAGGTGGCTAAAGAAAGCCCCCAACGTAGGGTATTTTTTTTGGCTATTCTTGGACACTGTTCAGGCGTCACACTTGACCCCGCTTCATCTAACCGGCCCATCGACTCATTGCGTTTTACCCGTTCAACATTGCTTGGTGGACAGAGGCGGATGGATTTAACGCTTTTTTTCCCATTCCGAGAAATTTTAAGGTCACATGGTGAGCCCCGTTCACGAATTAACTTCTTGAACCGTGCAAGTGGCTCAGGGTTAATTTTATTTAGAGGGGCTTGGCGCCGTCGTTTTTAAAGACATCGTAATCACCACGGAGAACTGTAGCGACACGACCACGCTCTATGATAGCTGGCACCAAACTGTGCCACATGCCCTCCCGCGTGGCCCTGTTAGGTGCCTCGGGACCGATACATTTATTTTTTACGTCATCAGAATGGAAGCGGAAGGAAAACCGATGACGTACACGTGCATCATCGGGAAGGGTTAACAAAACTGGTTGCATGGGCAGTTGAAACAATTGGCAAGTTACACGATGTGGCTAATAGAACCGATGTAGCTAATAGAACCGATGTGGCTAATAGAACAAACATGAAATCACATAAGTATCAGTTGAGTGTCAGGGCATCATTCATGAGGGTCCTGCTTAGCAACGCTCGCAGTGAGTGTTGCCTCCTCACCTGCCCCAGTGACGTCAGGGACTTGTTAATGGCTGCAGCCTCCACGAGTCTCTGGCCGGTTGCCTCCGTTCGAGAGATCCTCTCTGAGCCGGCCAGGTCACCCAGAATCAATGAGCCGTGGGAAGCAGAGCCGGAGACCACATCGAGCCCCTCCAAGCTGAGTGTCGTCAGCAAATGCGAGCGGGAGCTGTGGCAAAAATATCAACCATTGTGGCCAAGGTTGTTTATTGCTCAGTTGCATTGTGTACCTTTCGTCCATTGGCACATACTGATATTAGGAGCATCATCATCAGCCACGTCCTCTGCTGAATGAAGGCCTGTCGAAACTGCGGACACCTTTCATGGTCCAGCAATGTCATAATGAATTTAGCACCTGCACACATATTTAATTAATTGACCTGTCTCCCAGGTGAACGCTCCCGAGAACGTGTACAATAACATAAATCAAGTGTGAGTACAGGTGTTGGATAGCGTTAAGGTCAGAGCACTGGACTAACACTGCTGAGACCCTGGGACCAAATCTGGGTAGCTACCCAAGTCTAATGAGCTGGTGATGTCAGCTCAGTCACCAATTACTGCACAAAAAACACATTGCATTTGGTTTTCACTCAATTGGGATATATTCCAGTTCTTAGAATAAGAAAAAAAATTGAAATTCAATGTTAATAAATTATTTTTAAGAAAGGTTTTCAGTCCACGGTGACCTGATTAAATTAATATAAGTAAAATTGCATATGAATAGATGAAACTTAACATAGAATGCTACTTCATTCAGCACTCACGCAGAGCAGCGCATCATCTCAGATTGGAGAATGGCCAATTGAAGGAGTATTTGGCTGCTATAAAGTTCCACACGATAAGCCACTTCGTTGAGATACCATTTGCGCCCTGGTCGTTTCTGAAAAAGAGCTATATAGCTCAGTGGGGCCTTACCTGGTAAAAAAAAAAAAACAGACCTGTGGATGTTCATCTTGGTGGAGGCCACGGTGCGGTGCTTATGGGCGGTCTCCATCACGCGCACAATGTCTTCCTCCGAGGTCACGATCGTTGTGGTCAGGCCCGGCACGGTAACGCTCCTGGCCTGGCCACGCACTTCGAGGGGGCCTGAGCCCGGCTTGCCGAGGAGGTCCCTCACAGTCTCATTGTAAATCTCCAGCATGGAGATCTGCACAGCAGAGCACGACCACCCGTGTACGTAACTGCACTGGCGTATTGTAAAAAAATTTAATATTACCAGATTCGACCTGGCCACAAATGATATTTCAACAAAGTGGCATATCATGAGGACATTGATAGCAGTCAAATAAATTTAGATTTAAAGCTTTCGTGACTGCAGGGATTTATATTCTTGGTTCTTTAGGTAAAGTCACGCAGAAGGGAAATAATAAAATAATATTTTTTTCCCTTATACGTGACTTTACCGAAAGAACCAAGAATATAGCAGTCAAATACTCTAAACGCACGTTCATTCTAAAATAGGGAGGGGAAGAAATGTAAGGATCCGTAGAAAAATCCATCCGACCACGGGGAAAACATGCCAACTCCAAATATACAGGCGTCAGGGTCGGTATCAAACCCCTGATCTTCCGTATACCAGGCGAGGTTGTTAACATCTCGCCACTGTGGATTGTCATTAGGGGCAGGCGGGGCCGGGTCCAATGAGTGAAAAAGAAACAAATTACATAAACCTTTACAATAGTTTACATTGCTTGAAGCAAACGTGACTGCTGATGAGACACTGCATGTCGAAACAGCTGAAAAGATGCACTTCTAGAAGGCCTTGTGACTCACGGGAAATGTAAAAAAAATAATAGATATTTGAAGGAAATATACGATCCGCTTATTTATTTAAGTTATTTATATTCTCCACAATGATACACATTGTTATTTTGCGTTAACAGCACAGTGCTCACCTTTTCATTATGAAGATTACAAAACTGCACAAACCCCCCTCAATCCCCCTTCTCCCCTCCCCGTGCCGATGTCTCAATGGACCTACCCCTCACCCCTTGGATCTCCACGCCCCACCAATTTGCTGTCAAAAAGACAAAGAACCCCCGTGTAGCCTGAACAGACTGTAGGGGCAAGTTCTGTTAGCGAGCACCTATGAAGGCAGGCACGGCACGCGAGGGGGTGGGTGGCCAGTACCACGTCCGGCCGCCTTTGTATCCCCAGTGGTGATGTTTACACATCTCACCAGGTACTCATTTGAGGCTGAGTCGACCTAGGGGAGGACCAGAACATATTCAGATAATCGTCACTGGTGTCGGCCGCGAGCGGCAATCGAACTGGGGTCGCCGGGTTCGTAACGCTTTTCGCTAACCGTTGAACTACCGATCCCCTTTGCCGAAATTCTGTACAGGTATACGCACCAGCCACCACTCCTTTCATTTAAATGGATGTAGAGGGCGCTATTGGCAGATACTATTATCCCAGTCAAATCCGCGAAAATAATAACCAAACCACCTGGACTGCACCCAATCCCATCAGATCTCAGTAGCTAAGCAGGGTTGAGCATAGACAGTGCTTAGATGGGCGACCAATATGTACAAGCAGGTTGTCATAGGGATGCGGGGCTATGCTGTGGGCAGTGAAGCAAAATAAATTGTTGTACCTTACTTCTATTCTCCCACACTCTAAGCTCCTCACCCACACTGACCAGTGTTATGAAATGTGGTCAAACATAACTTCCCGCAATTCGCTGCGTGGGAAGGCCTTTGTGTCGCAGTGGATTAACAAAACGGCCATATATACACGTGTGTACGTACTATATCTATTTAAAATCTTAAGCACCGCATAACAGTCCTGTAGATTTGATAAATAATCAGAGGTGATATACATTTTTTAAAGTATATATTTCACAATACATGTTTGGTGATTATTATGCGCACATGTTAATGTAACAGTGGCTCTTTGCACATTGCATGATGCAGTACTTGCAGATGCTATCTGGTGGAATGGTGTTTTTTCACAAGCGCTGGAGAAGCAAGTTGAAAATGTCACGTGGAATTTGCTTAACAATCAGTCATGTAAAGCATTTACATGAGACAGGACCAATTTCAGTCCACAATTCTGTAAGCCCAGAAGTAATGATATTTCATGGATCATTATTCTTCACTTAACATATGAGGAATTGCATTTTTCGCTGAGGTGGTTCATTGATAACATTTTAGGAGAATTATCTTAACAAATCGTAGCCATTTTAAAATAAATAAAAAACATTGTGGGGTAATCGTTTCTGACCTTCAAAGTATACTTGACATTGTGCCTTTCTTTGCAGATGTTAAGAAGCTCTTTTACAGACCTGGAAAATAGAACACAGTATACTCACATTGTATTTGCATGTAGGACTTTACAAGCACAACTACAATTATATTTTAATGTTTGCTTTAGCGGTTTATGCCACGACATGCATTTCAATATTTAATGAGAACACTGATGCAATACTAAAATGGCATGCTCATACGAATGAAAAAAGTATTCTGATTAAAACTGAACCTCGTTATATTTGATTATGGGCCCATAATCGCTCGCACTAAAGAGCTCATGGTAAGACCGTACGAAAAAGCCACACAATCAATCGTCTTTAACTACGTGTGATGGCAAGGCAATCAGAAACAGATCTGACTGCAAAGCAAAGCAAGCGCTGTGGTAAACAACGTCGGTGCGAGCATTTCATCATGAGTAGCGAAGAGCGAGGTGCGCCCGACTAAACGCAGGCGAAGGTCGGGAGCAAAATAAGGAGCCGCGGCGTTTGGCAAACACAATTCATGCAACCGCCGCAATCTGCAATGGATACGTTCTCGTAACGTGGATTCTTCATGCTTGAACGCGGCTCTAACAACGGCTCGTTGAGCAACAATTTCTCAGAGAGCTTTCTGCGAAAGACGATTTTTTTGTTTGTTGGCGGTAGGTGTCTTGCACGCGATGGCGGGTTTGGGTTTTAGTTGTTGCTGTTGTTGTTGTTGTTGTTGTTTTTTTGCGGGGACTCACCGGACGTTCACGCCTGGAGCGTTGGAGGTGCCCATCATCGTGTGGGTCTTGCCGGAGCCGGTCTGGCCATAGGCGAGGATGCACACATTGTAGCCGTCCACGCAGGAGGTGATGAGTGGCAGTGTGTCTGCAAAGACTTGCTCCTAGAAGGCAGCAGCAATTGCTTTACAGCAGTGGCAGCTGCGCCGGGGCGTTGGGGAGGTGCCCCGCTTAAAACTTGCGTCAATTTCCTTTCACTTTCAAATAAAAAAGAGGAATCGTAAAATCCTTTCTTTTTCTAATTAATATTTTTTTTTATTTCAAATATAATCCCATAAAATCAATAATAAAGATATGATTTTGCATTGATTTGGGAAACCTCATTTGTCGTTCCTCGTGAAATGGAAATTTTGGCAGCTCACTAGCCAATCCAAACCACTTTCATCGCTCAACAATATTGAGCGACAGGGGCACCTGAGGTTCCGCCATAGGCAGCGATGGCATCACTTCACCAAAGATTTGAGCCACGAGCCAACACTGCTGAACAGGGCATGCCATACAATGATTGTTGAATAATGCCTCGCTCGTTATTCATTAACTCAAAATTAATTCAGCTGGCAGGTGTCCAGATATGCTCACGAATCAGAGCACTGATACAACACCGTTGAGACCCTGGGTTCGAATCTGGGTTTCATCCATCGTTGAGTAAATCTAGACTCTCAAGCTTAGTGAATTGATAATCTCAACCTGGTCACCAATGCCTGCACACACAAAAAAATCGATGACGTAAAAAAAAATTTGCCGAAATTTTATTTGATCACATTCGTGCATTGACAAAAAAAAAAACATTGGCTTGGCTGCCGATCTGACAAACATTTGTCTGCGCAGGGTGTGTGGGGAAGTTTGTATGGATTGGAAGGATTAAAGAGGTCACTTGAAGGGATTATTCGGTGATATCTCATTCCACAGGCTATTCTTTAACACGAGCTGCTGCACTGCTCTGCGAGAGGTAAAATTTATAGTTGGTCTCGTCTCACGAGACAGCACAATTTTGATAAAACTTTGGAAAACACTGCAAATTTACACAAATTAATTCCAGCATTGATTATTTCTGAACCATGTTAACATTCATACCTGAATATCAAAATATAAATTTCAACCCAGTTCAGGAATTCACAAAATAACTGCTTTTCAGTAAAAAAAAAATACATCTAAAATTCAGTTATGTCAACATGAGAGTTAATTTAAAATGAAAGAAAACGAATATACATTTTTTTCTCATATAAAAATACATATTTTACCGAAAGAACCAAGACTATGAATCCCTGCAGTCACGAAAGCTTTAAATCGAAAAAAAAATACATGTTGAGTAATACTACCGCGTAGATCCATGATGTGTTTTCGGTTTGTACCGCACGCTCTTCGGCACAACGTCCGACGTTTCAGTCCCTGAAGAAGCTTCGAGCACGCGGAGCAAAACGTACCTAAAAGCCTCTTGCCTCCTGCGTATGGACAGGTGGAGTAAAGGCACGATAGCCAGGAGGGTAAAAAAAAACCCCAGCAAGAAAACCTCAGAGAGCTGTAAGGCGCCTCAGCAAACGAAGCCACGTGATGCAAAGAAGAATAGACACTGACCTGCGTGGCGTTGGGAGGGAAGACCTGATCGAAGGCGAACGACGTCGTTTTGCCCTCGCTCTGCATAACCAGAACCTCGCCTGCCGACGGAGAAAACTCCAGGCCGGGCACGCCGCCGTCGGGCGCGCCGGGCCTGCCGCGGCAAAACACGCGGATGTTCCCACGCAGTTCCGTGAGCTGGTCGTGCAGCAGCCTCCGCTGCAAGGCCTCGCGCCGGTACAGCGATCGCGCCTCGTCCAGCGAGCCGGCGCTCGCCGCCGCTAGCCCGGCCATGCGACGCACCGCAGAGGCCAGGCTCTGGATCAGTCGACCCAGCTCCCCCAAGTCGCGACGGGCACCGTCGGAGAGCTGCGCTCCGAGCAGCGACAGCCCACGGGCCTCTCCCTGCGTCCGCCTCAGTGTCGTCCCGTGGCTGTTGACGAGCAGTCTTGACGGGATGGTTGCCTGTTGAGCGACAGAAGCCAAAAAGGACTTGGCCCACAAGGCAGACCGTGTCCTCTCGTCCGTAGGTAGAGCAACTATGCCACCGATTCACTGTATTCACTCGCTCACCAGCGGTCAGTCGTCTCCTCATCACTCACTTATGTTGAGGAATCAGTCTAGTAGACTGACTGTTTCGTCTCATCCACAGAAAGAGAAACTATGTGACACCGATTCACTATGTTCACTTGCTCACAAGTGGTCAGTCTTCTCCTTGTCTCCCTTCTAGTGCTACCGCCATTACTACTGTTCCCGTGAACTGCACTGTTTGATTCCTCCACTCATGTTGAGGAATCAAGTCTAGTAGACTGGTCTGCTTCGTCTCATCCATGCCGCGTTCAGCCACCGCATTGCGGGTGTAAACACATCTCCGTCCCACTGCTCTCCTTGCACTGTTCGACATTGGGAATCCATCCCATCGTCACGTTTATGAAGGCCTCATAACATCGCTCAATTCAAAAAATGTATTACCTCTTATCTATTGTATGTTTGCTGCTGGCCGGTTGGCATTTTGGGTCTTTGTGCCTGTGCTCAGCAACCGTGATAAAAAATAAGAGGGATTCCTGGGGGCTGCACGGGAAAAAGCTCGGCCACCCATCAACCGAAACATCCACCTGCGAATGCAGAGAAGATCTGCATCATGCCCAGATCTTAGGGACTTTGAGGGGACATATGGGTTTAGCATGTCAATGATATAGGCTGGGGAAAGATGGTTCACTGCTTTGTAAGTTAACAATAGGATTTTAACTGTATTATATGTGAAACTGGAAGCCAGTGCAGGAAGGCGAACACGGGCGTAATATGATATGAAGAAGGCGTTCTGGTTAACACCCTAGCAGCCGAATTCTGAACATGCTGCAAATTAATCAGCACCTTCTTAGCCACACCAGGGGTAAGACATTACAATAGTCTATGCGAAATGAGATGAAGAAATGGACCAGCTTTTCTGCATCTGAGGCAGAGAGAAGGGATCGGATACGGAAGATATTCCGAAGATAGAAAAATTTAATATTTGTGAACTTTTTAATGTCAGCCTTGAAGGACAATGTGGGATCACAGATGAGCCCTAGATTTGTGACTTCACGTGCCGGACTGATTCCTTGATCATCAATCGTAATGTTGAAGGGTGCAGCTTTATGAAGTTGGCGGGGTGACCCAATGAGTATCACCCCCGTTAAACACCGTTCAATTGAAGGAAGTTTTGTTGCAACCAACTATTGATGGAAGCCAGCGCCGAAGTAAGCATGGAAGCAAAGGGATATCGGGCTCAGTATGCAAGTACATTTGATTGTCGTCTGCATAGCAATGAAACATTAGGCCGAGGTTTCCGAGCAAATTTCCAGTAGGACCACATAAATGTCCAGTGGGACCACATACATGTCCAGTGGAACCATATAATTATAAAAGAGAGCTAAGAACTGACCCCTGAGGAACCCCAAAAGAAACAGGGCTGGTAGCAGATTTAAAATCTCCCAAAATAAAGGTTCCATTTCTGATTTAAAGCTCACTAAACTACAGTTTTTCATACTCTTTGGTTATTTCGGTAAAGTCACGTAGGTATAAAAATAAAATAAAAATTTCTTGCTGTAGTTTTCACACCTGATGATGATTGCTTGTGTTGCAATCGAAATGTCGTGATTTAATTTATTTTCTACCTACGTGACTTTACCGAAAGAACCAAAGAGTATGGATCCCTGCAGTCACGAAAACTTCAAATCTAGAATCAGTTTTTCATTCGGGCTGCTTTTCAAATTAAGTGGAAATGAGGTGCCATCACTGCAGTACAATAAACCGGGACATATCATGAGCAGAAAAATATCTCACAATACAGGAAGATAGGAGAAATACTTGTAAATGCATTGTCTAAACTGGTGTATTATTGCACAAATGCCAAAAAAGTGCCTTTTAATATCCCAGGTAGACTTGCGGATTTTCCAGGACAGATAGCTCAAAAAGAGGACATCCTGTGAGAATTGGGACAGGTGGCAACCTCAACTGGATATCTGTGACAAAAACTACAGGACATCTGTGAAAAAGAGCTTTATAGCTCATTGGATTACTCCAAGTCACCTTTCTAACGGACGTCACTGCCGGCGTTTTGGGCCTGTTGGACAGGAAGGCCTGCAGCCGGCTCTCCACCTGCTGGCAATGGACCTCCGCCGATGCCACTTGACTCTGCAGACCGTGAACTTTGACCTCCATGCATTGTTTCTCTTGCCGAAGTTCGGCGACCTGCCTTAGGGATCCTTCCAGTCGCTCCTGCGTTTCCCGCAGCTGCTTGCGTGTGTCATCCAAGGCCCTACCGCCGCCACGCAGACCCCCAGTGTGAGCGATGCCATCGGAATGGCCTTTAAAATGCGGCAAATGTAGCCCGTGTCCGTGCACTTTGCAATTAACTTTGGAAAACTCCAGCGGTACCGCTGTAATGAGGTCACAACGTCCATTGAACCTCTTTAATGAGTAAGCCAAATATATAGCTACACTTTATTCATTATTAAATTAGTGTCATGCAAAGAGCATGCCAAATTTATTTCAACAAAATGCACAATCGCTGAATTGCGTGGTGTAAAGTGTATTTTTTTTTATTACTGTAAGCAGTATATTAGAAAGCTGTTCATTTTCCACGTACTTCATGATATCAATTGAATTAAGCATATGTGCCAACATAATTGAGCTTACCCTTGCGTCTTCAGCTCGGCCGTAACATTTGCTGGAGATGCTTTTTTTACGTCATCACCGTAGAGAGCGGTGTAGTTCGAAACAACTTCATCAGCATCGTAGTTGCACTGTCTGAGCATCGCCACAATGCCTGATTGGTCCTTCCAGCCTGGGATGGCTGCCTTTTGGGAATCCAAGCATAAATGTAACACGTTAGATGCTCTCATCACATTCGCAATGAAGATTGCTTCTTAAGGTCATGATACTTAGACTGGATTGTGTAAGAATTGATTGTATGGATGTATTTAATTGGTTCACGTGGGCCTCTGTAGCCACTAGTAGCCACTATATTCACTGCAATGTTGAAATAATAATCGAATCGTGACAATTTATTGAATCACTGATGGCTAGGAGCAAACACTGTCACATTTTTTTTCCAAATTAAGGAACTAGAGGGCAGTAGTGTCGTATCTGCCATCTCATTTTAACTTTGTTCAAGGTATGCATTTTATATTTATTCGACGCAACATACCGCGTGGAAATTAATAAATGTAGGGAATTACATACTTGGACGAAGGCCAATTTGCTCCGAACAAAATCCAAACGGCACTCCCACTGTGCTGGGACATGCAGCCAGGCTCCGCTTTCTTCATCAAAGAACTTGCAAATCGTTCTCCTCTCCTGCGAATGGCAACAGTCGTGACGGGTTGTGGTGCTCACCAATTCGGGGGGCCTTAAGCAACATTATATTTTGGGGAAGGAGCGGGATGGGTGGGAGTGGGGCTCCCCTTTCAATTTCTCAACTCCTTAGTGAGATGACGACAGAGGAGATACAGACAAGAGATCTAGAGACATCGCCCCGTTCATTCTAAAAAGAAAGTAGTAATATGACAGAAGAGATTTAGACAGCGATGAAAGAGAGATGTGTGGACAAGACGGAACTGCAGTGAAATGAGAAGAGTGATACAATTGAGACAGATTGAGTGAATTGAGAGAGCAAACGATGGAGTTTTATGAGAGAGATGCAAACATGATATGGATAAGATAGATGAATTTGCCTTTTACTGTATTAGGATGTATTAATCTAGCTGATAGTTGGTTCACCATAATTTTTGTATGAATCCTATGCCACTTGAGCTCAGATTAGAATCTTCATTTAGAATGCAGGAGGAAATATAAAATGAGATGTCCAATAGGTTACAACAGCAACTAATACAAAAAAACACGATACGAGTGCAACATTGAGAAAATGGTAAGCTAATCACTAAATATATATAGTTATGATTATTTTAAAATAGAAATCAGTCCCAGACCACATCAAGATAGCAGCACACAGCAGCAGTAGGCCCTCAATACAATGGCGCACTAACACCGAACTATCAATACACAGTTAATGATCAAGGGTACAAATCACATTTGGGGACTTAAGACATTTTATTGCTTTTTTGCTTGTGCCTAGTGCCACCACTGAGCGGTGATGCCAGTCTCTTAATGGAATTTGATTTTTTTACCACGGCAGACGATGAACGACTGCACGTCACAGACAGCCTGCGCCGTGTTCAAGTGCATTTTGGCAGGTCGGCGGGTGACGTTACCTCGAACAAATACGTTGTCAGCTCGCCTTTGGTCGGGTGATGGAACATTCCGATGCGGTCGTCCTCCATCATGTTGGCGCTGACATTGTGGGCACGCGCTTTGTGAAGGTCCTCGTGCCCACTGCCCCTGCCGGCAGACGGGCCCTGTGTCGAGTGGACGGGGGGGGGGGGGGTTTAGCTGCTTATAGATCAGAAGATCCAGTGTACAGATGTGAAATGCGAACAAGAAAATACATGCATATGTACGAAATGATATATAGTAGAAGCCCTCTTAACCACGGTAATTGGTTCCACGAAACCGGTCGATAAGTGATTTGGTCATTAAGTGAGTATAGGAAATACACATTAACGGCTTAATTCGTTCCGATAGCATCGACAGTGACCCTTTTTAACCCAAAAAACGTACTTTATAACACTTAAATAATGGATATTAATACATAAAAATACTAACAACATTGTACACACATAATATTAAAAGAACCATGGTTACTCAATGCATTAATTAACATTTACTGTACCTACATCAGCCCATCATTAATAGGGGAATGGCCGGTATGCAAACACATTGGGCTCTATGGAGGCCCATAGTTAAGTGCTTAGTCGTTAACGGGGGTGGTCGTTAAGAGGGTTTCTACTCTACACTATACACTATACTACTATACACTACACTATACACTACACTATACACATTGGGCTCTATGGAGGCCCATAGTTAAGTGCTTAGTCGTTAACGGGGGTGGTCGTTAAGAGGGTTTCTACTCTACACTATACACTACACTACTATACACTACACTATACACTACACTATACACATTGGGCTCTATGGAGGCCCATAGTTAAGTGCTTAGTCGTTAACGGGGGGGGTGGCCGTTAAGAGGGTTTCTACACTACAATACTACTATACACTACACTACCATACACTGCAATATACACTACTATACACTACACTACTATACACTACACTGCTATACACTACACTACTATACACTACACTAATATACACTACACTACTGTACACGACTATACACTACACTACTATACACTACACTGCTATACACTACTATACACTGCAGTACTTTACACTACACTACTATACGCTACAATATACACTACTATACACTACACTACTATACACTACACTGCTATACACTACACTACTAAACACTGCAGTACTATACACCACTACTGTACACGACTATACACTACACTACTATACACTACACTACTATACGCTACAATATACACTACTATACACTCCACTACTATACTATACACTACACTGCTAAACACTACACTACTATACACTGCCATACTATACACTACACTACTGTACACGACTATACACTACATTACTATACAATACACTATACACTACGCTATACACTACACTACAATACACTACACTATACACTACACTCTACACTACACACTGGGCTCTATGGAGGCCCGTCGTTAGGCGATTAGTCGTTAACAGGGGTGGTCGTTAAGATGGGTTCTACTGTACAGGAATATGACAAAGAATTTCAAGGGAAAAGTTCACACTTCACGACTGGCCCATATGCAAACCCCCACAATAAACGACATGCATATGCATTTTGAAGCCAACCCACTGCCGTCAGTCACAGCATTTATTTGAAAATGCTTCATCACGCTGGTCTCAGTGCAGGTGGGTGGAGGGGACTCTGAGAACCTAGGAATAGTTGAGATATCACTCGCCGCTGTTGTTAGCCATGGGCAAACGATGATACACAGGTCACCACTGGGGTCATAGCGCACTGACAAGCAAAGTAACCCTGAAAACGTGGACTTACATGTACAGTACTAATAATCTTCAACCGGTTATTTAGTTAAGCAGTCCCACTCTTGAAGAATTGCCAAACAAAAGTTTGCTGACGCATTTGTATTATATATTGCACTGTAACTCAGCAATAATAACAATTTCAACTTGTGACGTGCACCACAGTATTCATTCACGATCAAAGACGGTGAATGATGCAGAGGCGCGGGGAACCACAGACAAGCAGGGAAGGGTGAGCCAGCGCCAAATTACCCCATAAGCTCTGCGGTCCTCTATATACCAAGATGTTGCCAATTAATAGAGTGTTCACATGTGCGAGGGCATGGGAGCACCCGGACAAAAGTCACGCATGCGAAGGGGCAACGCTCGATCCCATGCAGACGGAACCATGGAATCCTCCCTTGCTGTACCACCTTATACCGGTCAGCCAGGACACGGCACCTCGATGCCCATGGGGAGGGAGTTTCGCAACATTTGAATGATGTATGTTGAACTTCTTCCGCACCGTACATAGCCAACCGTGCTATTCGGAGGTGCGGGGGAAGGACAACAAACTAAAAATAAAAAGCCGCTCTAAAGAAATTAGTTAATCAGTCGAAATTTAAATCTGCATAGCTCCAGTGGCTTCCTAACATCAGAAGGAAGAGCGTTCCAGACGGCCACAGAAGCGTGCCTGATACTGCGCGATGGAGTTGCCATCTTTGTTAGATGGTGAGCCAAAAGTCGCTGCAGTTCACGTAATCCAGCACCTTCACAGTGCTGGATTACAGGCGTGCACCACCGCCGCCCTGTAATACATAACATGACTGTGGGTATATTCTCAATGTGTGTACCGTACAAGGAATTTACAACGTGTGACCTTATCTTACTTTATTTTGAGATGCGTCATTAAAAAATGTCCCCTGATTTTCCCACTCTTCGGGAAATGGAATCATACCCATGTGTGGCTGAAACAACAACACATTTACATTCATGAGCACAGCGAATTGACAAAAAAACCACATTGTAAATTGGCAGTACGTTTATATTGTGGGTAATTGCATTTAAACTATGAAGATTGCATTGGCAGCTCACCCTGTTTTCATCAAAGTACAACCGCACTCCATCTTGCATGATGCAGGAGTAACACATGCCATTGTCATGTACAAAGGTATCAAATATCAATGATACTTCATCGGCTTTCATATCCTGCATAGAAAAAAAAACACACACATTCACATCAACCGTTGAATATAGTGATGCTGAAACACTACGTGTTAAGGATGAGTTCTGAATTTTTTAAAATATGCTCGCTTTGACCCAGTAAACAAGCAACATTTGGCCAATGTCGACGTGGTTGGAACCATTAACCAAACGTTGGCCCAACGTTGCCCCAACGTTCCATGTTCACGGAGGATGCATTCATAAGGTACAAATATACATATGAAGGATGTCTTTCTGATTTCAGTGTATTGCAAAAAATCTGAAAATTGTGTTTTGTTTCAGTTGTCCAAAAGTATCACTTCACGAGAAATGACATCACGTACCTGTCAACCCCTTATCAGTGCCTACCTTCAGACCTTATTGGTCACCCCGTGCCCTTATAAATCTCAACGTTCATCCTACAAAGTCCCATCACGAGGGAGAAACACAAACAAATAGGCAAAAACAAATTGCCCATATTGAAACGGCTGTATGCCATATGGAGCTGAAAACTCCATTTCCCTGCACAAAAATAGGGGTAAACCGTATGGGTCGACAAGTATGCGTATACAATTCCACTTCTGTACTATCCCGGTGAAAGTGGTGTCACGTGGCATCGGGTGATACTTTTGTTAGCATGAAGACACCTTAAATTATTACACAATGTGAATTATCCAAACATGATAAAATCCTTAAATTATATCCAAAAGTGTTCTTAAAAATCTGAAAATACGAAATCCAAAGCATTTGATTCAGAAACTCATCTCTAGTTACATGCTTGTGTATAATTTAGTGTCACTTGCATTCTGGCCATGTCATACGCATCCTCGTAAACATGCCAACGTTGGGGCAACGATGGCATCTGGCCGGAACTATTGGACCAACATTGGCCCAATGTTTGCTCAACATCCCGTGTTTGACTGGGCTCCTGCAGTTTGGGAACCACCCTTCTGAGAAATTGGCTCCCCACTAGACTCACCTCAAAGTCAATATAAAGCCTGTTGTCCTGCGATCTCTCGTCATTATCTTCTCGATCTTTCTGTCCAGAGATGTTTATGTCGTACGGCTGAGCACCCACTACCTCGAGGGTGGAACTCGCCCGTGTCCCCCTTTTGACGGCGGTACGTGACTGAGCAACGGACTCAACAACCACGGCTTTATTGGCGCTCGAGTTCAGAACACTTGGGGAGCTGCCCATTGCACCCCTCTATCTGAGCAAGGAATGTTTGGCTGATGTGCCCGAAGCAGCCTGATACCTGGATGGGGAAAAAAAAAACATTCTAAATTACTGTTGTTATTCCAGCCCCTAAGTGCACGATAACGTTGAGATGCTAACTCAATGACAAAATATGCCACGGTCAACAGATACTTTTCACACATGGGTTACTTTCACTCAATGTCATATATGTACGTATGTATGTTGAATTTATTTCGCACCGTACAAAGCCAACCGTGATAATCTGAGGTGCAGGGGGAAGGACAACAAACTAAACACAAAAATCAGTGCCAAAGAAATTAGTTTTAAATCTAGATTTTAAAGTGCACAAAGTATTTTGGCTCACAGTTTAGCTTTTGCTACATTTACAACTTTTATTTAATTACTGCTGATAAATACATAACACAAAATAATTATTATGAATACAATACAGATGAATATAGGTGAAGGAAAAACTACGAACCGATTACCACCAAATGAGTCACCCAAACTTGACAACACGCACCACACCCTCCTCACATTCTAATGGCTCCTACACAATCCTCCTCAAAGCATCACCCGATTCGCTCCGTCTCTTCCACTTATAACATTCACCTCCTGTGTGGCGACCCTAACTCGCCTGCTCGTGTTATTCCACTGCGATTTACCACCGAAACCCGTCTAACCAATAAGTTGTGTTTTTTTATTCCAATAAAATACTTCTGGCAAAAAGAAACAACAAACCTACATGACATTTACTACAGTGTACAATTTAGTTTATGCAAAAAAATCTAAAAGTTTAACACGCTAATATTTTGGGGAAATTTTATATTCCAATCTGTAAGTTCCCAGCCAATTGAGACATTACCTGACCAAACATGTGTCTACGCTAGAATGGCTGCGGTCTGTAACATGCACACTGCAGTCTTGATTGAAGTGATTTAACAAATACTTGCCGTGCAGCCGTCCCAAGCGATGGTTCCAAGCAGTTTCTGAACGGTCGCTCCAATCAGTCTCGGTAACTGTTGCCACAACAGACGAAATACCACTTGTGTGCGTTGGAATGACTGTGCTTTTGCATGAGTTGTTGACACAACGCTCACAATTGAGCATGTGTTCTAGGCTATTTAAACACCACTGTACAGTACTTACCAAGCATCTTCGTGTTTTTACACAAGTGTTTTCTGGTAGCCCTTGGGGGGGAAAAACGTTTTAAAAATGGATAACGCGAAAAGTTTGTTGTGATATATCACGTCACATTTACAGTCCCCTGTACAGTGACGTTTTTAAAATAAACATAGTGAAAGCATCGTGATAAATTCACAGAGAATGGGGTCATTGCATTAATTAACTTATAGAATACAAAACACCCTTGGACGGATAAGGTCATGGGGGTTGCTTGACCATACTTCACGCTGTTCACAGTGGAATACACCATGTAGTCTCCGACTTACGAACAACCGCAGTTACGAATGAGCTTCCATAACATACATTTTTGTTTAACCACCAGACGTGAACTCACAATTGCGAACCCAACCGCATAACTATTTTGTTCAGTGGAGCCATCCTGCGCGTGAGATGTAATGAGTTCCAGCATCCCACTGGGGGTAAGTGTTTGTGTGTGCTTGCAAAATTTTGGAGACTCATTAAGCCCCTTTTGGCAAGCAAGCCAACATCAGGACTCAAAGGTAAGTGAAAAAAATCACGTTTTATTTATTTACAATGCAGTACTTATCACAATATTACATACAAATGTACAATATTCTAATTGATTGTTTTAACAATGTTTCCATTTTTTGTTTAACCGTAACACATTTCAAAACGCTGACTTAATGGGCATTTAAACAGTGCATTTTGTATTCTAGATTTAAAGCTTTCGTGACTGCTAGGATCCATACTCTTTGGTACTATTGGGTAAAGTCACGTAGGTGAAAACAAAATAACAAAAAATCACGACGTTTCGGCCACAACACAAGCGGCCTTCATCAGGTGAAGGGACGAGACTGTCTGGAGGACAGCGCTGGAGTGGAAGAAGCCACGCTTAGATCACGACCTTTAAGCTGTGTGAGAAGAAAAAGACCAAGCGATAGGATCTTGGACAAAAATTAAACAAAAATGTATGACATATTTAATTACAAAGTTTGGGAAAATACAATTTTAACATTTTTTTTTAACTTGCACTGCTGTGGAGAATTTTGACTAATACATAATCAGACAACACATCTCCATATATCTATCCCTGCAAAGAAATATGAAAGTATTTTTTTACACCAGCATCTAGCCCACATGGCATTTTGGGAGGGCATAATTTATGTGGTATTGGTTTAACACAAGGGAACGCTGGACCGGTTTTGACACGCAGTGTCTCATCAGAAGTCAGGCTTGCTTGAACAAACGCTGCTGAAATGCAAGGGGCGGTATAGACATGGACCCTCTAATTTGTATATGGCTCCTAAATGTGTTATTTGTATCATACGTTCGAAACCATTAATTTTGTTTAATTGGCATTATTTCCAGATTCACGAACGAGACAAAGCTGCTGTATTCTCCAAACACCACTGCATAATACCTAACAAAAAGTACAGCGATCTTAATAATCAACAACCTCCACAAGAGTTGATTATTGTATTTACAGACTTGTCAAGAATCCCACGAAAAGTCACGTTTGGGAAACGCCTTCAGTGGTCACTCGTCGATATCACATTGCATTTACTATCACGCATTGGCACCGCTCGCCTATGCTTATCCATACTGGGAAGTTAAATCGTAATATTAACCGGTTTCAATCACACGGAACTAAATATTGTTCTATTTCAGCAGGTAACGGCCCACTGAGCTATATATAGCGAGGGAAAAAGTATTTGATCCCCTGCTGATTTTGTACGTTTGCCCACTGACAAAGAAATGATCAATCTATAATATTAATGGTAGGTGTATTTGAACAGTGAGAGACAAAATAACAAAAAAATCCAGAAAAACGCATGTCAAAAACGTTATAAATTCATTTACATTTTAATGATGGAAATAAGTATTTGACCCCCTCTCAATCAGAAAGATTTATTTTCTCCCAGGTGTCTTTTATACAGGTAACGAGCTGAGATTAGGAGCACACTCTTAAAGGGAGTGCTCCTAATCTCAACTTGTTACCTGTATAAAAGACACCTGTCCACAGAAGCAATCAATCAATCAGATTCCAAACTCTCCACCATGGCCAAGACCAAAGAGCTCTCCAAGGATGTCAGGGACAAGATTGTAGACCTACACAAGGCTGGAATGGGCTACAAGACCATTGCCAAGCAGCTTGGTGAGAAGGTGACAACAGTTGGTGCGATTATTCGCAAATGGAAGAAACACAAAATAACTGTCAATCTCCCTCGGCCTGGGGCTCCATGCAAGATCTCACCTCGTGGAGTTGCAATGAGCATGAGAACGGTGTGGAATCAGCCCAGAACTACACGGGAGGATCTTGTCAATGATCTCAAGGCAGCTGGGACCATAGTCACCAAGAAAACAATTGGTAACACACTACGCTGTGAAGGACTGAAATCCTGCAGCGCCCGCAAGGTCCCCCTGCTCAAGAAAGCACATAATGCCCGTCTGAAGTTTTCCAATGAACATCTGAATGATTCAGAGGACAACTGGGTGAAAGTGTTGTGGTCAGATGAGACCAAAATGGTGCTCTTTTGGCATCAACTCAACTCGCTGTGTTTGGAGGAGGAATGCTGCCTATGACCCCAAGAACACCATCCCCACCGTCAAACATGGAGGTGGAAACATTATGCTTTGGGGGTGTTTTTCTGCTAAGGGGACAGGACAACTTCACCGCATCAAAGGGACGATGGATGGGGCCATGTACTGTCAAATCTTGGATGAGAACCTCCTTCCCTCAGCCAGGGCATTGAAAATGGGTCGTGGATGGGTATTCCAGCATGACAATGACCCAAAACACACGGCCAAGGCAACAAAGGAGTGGCTCAAGAAGAAGCACATTAAGGTCCTGGAGTGGCCTAGCCAGTCTGCAGACCTTAATCTGAAGGTTCGAGTTGCCAAACGTCAGCCTCGAAACCTTAATGACTTGGAGAAGATCTGCAAAGAGGAGTGGGACAAAATCCCTCCTGAGATGTGTGCAAACCTGGTGGCCAACTACAAGAAACGTCTGACCTCTGTGATTACCAACAAGGGTTTTGGCACCAAGTACTAAGTCATGTTTTGCAGAGGGGTCAAATACTTATTTCCCTCATTAAAATGCAAATCAATTTATAACATTTTGAAATGCGCTTTTCTGGATTTTGTTGTTGTTATTCTGTCTCTCACTGTTCAAATAAACCTACCATTAAAATTATAGACTGATCATTTCTTTGTCAGTGGGCAAACGTACAAAATCAGCAGGGGATCAAATACTTTTTTCCCTCACTGTATATACTGTAGCTCTGTCTCAGAGGCGACCTGGCCACAAATGGTAGCTCAGCGAAGAGGCTTATTATTATCACGTGGAAATTTATATCAGGGGCCGTCCATAAATGACGTCACGCGATTTTGGACCATTTTTGACCCCCCCACCCTCGTCACACGGCGTCACAAAAAGTCAGACCGCCCCTCAAATATGACGTCACAAAGCTCTGCCCCCCCCCCACAAAAAATCAAACAAGCTTCAAATCGCTTTAAACTATTGTCATTGTAGCGCGTATTTAATGTGCCGCTGCACTCTGATGTTGTAGGAGAAACATTTATTAGAAAGTCTATTTAATTAAGTAGAATGTGTTGTCTGTATTTATTTAAAGTTTCGCATTTTGATGTGACGTCACATTTCTCAAACACCCCCCCCCCCCAGGTGCGTGGCGTCATTTATGGACGGCCCCTCAGCCAGATACCCTAAACGCATTTTAATTCTAAATGTGGTGAAAAAAAACCAGATGACCTGGAGAAAAATCCACGCGGCAAGGAGGAGAATGAGAAGAAAACACAAACTCCAAATATAATAGCATACCTGTCAACCCCTTATCAGGGCCTGCCTCATTACACACCAATTCAGACCTCATTGGTCACCCCGTGCCCTTATAAATCTCAATGTCCACCCTACAAAGTCCCATCACCACGAAGGGAGCAACCCAGATAGACAAAACAAAATGTTACTAAACAAAACCAGTTTTATGTATTAATTCTAATTGGTGTCAAAGATGCTGCTTATGCTGTGATCTTGCATGCTGCCTGCTTGCTTGATATGTGGATGCACACACTCGCGTTGGAAATGTCCAACAATAAACACAGCAAAATTATGAAGGGTTAAACAATATACTGTTTTTATCCGGCCTTATGATTTGTGTTTGTTTTGCCCGCATTGAGACGTCTGTACGCCGTATGGACACGAACACTCAAAATGTCCCTGCACAACAACAACACGGGGTTAGACCCTGTGGGTTGAGGGCTGCTATGCAACAGCAGCCGTCAGGGTCAGGGGTCGAACCCTGGACAACAAGACGGGGTTAGACCCTGTGGGTTGAGGGTGGCTATGCAACAGCAGGCGTCAGGGTCAGCGGTCGAACCCTGAACAACAACACGGGGTTAGACCGTGTGGGTTGAGGGTGGCTATGCAACAGCAGGCGTCAGGGTCAGGGATCGAACCCACTGCACAACAACACGGGGTTAGACCGTGTGGGGTTGAGGGTGGCTATGCAACAGCAGGCGTCAGGGTCAGGGATCGAACCCACTGCACAACAACACGGGGTTAGACCCTGTGGGTTGAGGGTGGCTATGCAAAATTCGGTCACAGTCCCTATGATCGCTGTTACATTGCATTTATGGCTTTATTTTGGTGATTTCGAAAACGTTTTTTGGTTTGGCCATTTTTTATTGTAGTACGGAGTTAGACTGATGGCCTTAATCTAAGTTGTCTTGTGGTTGTTGTTGTTGGTTGACTTGCATCCCACTGGGATTTTTGCACACAGCGTTGGTGTACGGTGCTATTTCAGGAATATTTTTATGGTTTTTTTACCTGGATTTTCTGTTTGGACAGTCACATAGTCACTTTAATATGTTTTCTTGTTCATGTTTTTGTTTTTTGTTTGTTGCGTTTGCACCCGATTCAAGAGCCGAATGGCTCACAGGGCTATACCAAATAAATGGAACTATGAACTTTGAACAGCAGGCGTCAGGGTCGAGGTTTGAACCCTGCAAAACAACACGGGGTTAGACCCTGTTGGGTTGAGGGTGGCTATGTAACAGCAGGCGTCAGGGTCGGGGATCGAACTCTGCACAACAACACGGGGTTAGACCCTGTGGGTTGAGGGTGGCTATGCAACAGCAGGCGTCAGGGTCAGGGGTCGAACCCTGCACATCAACACGGGGTTAGACCCTGTGGGTTGAGGGTGGCTATGCAACAGCAGGCGTCAGGGTCGGGGATCGAACCCACTTCGCAACCCTCCTGCGCACACCACGGGCGAGGGAGTTCAGCGTCTCCCTTCGCCACCGCGGCGTCTCGAACACAACTCAAAAGACAAAGAAAACAAAGACAAAGATCCCCCGTGTAGCCTGCAACAGACTGTAGGGGCAAGTGCTGTTAGCGAGTAGCAGCACCTATGAAGGCCGGCACGGCACGCGAGGTGGCCGGAACCACGCCCGGCCGCCTTTGTCTCCCCAGTGGCGATGTTAACTACACACCGCACCAGCTACTCGTTTGAGGCTGAGTCGACCTTAGGTGAGACCCACGACCGGTTCAGACATTCGTCACCGGTGTTGGTCGTGTGCCGGGTGGCCAGGTTCGAGGCGCAGCGCGCTAACCGCTGCACCACCGCTCCCCCCACGCACGATTGGCACACGCACGGCCGCCATCTTACGTAGGGGACCCACGGAACATCGCAGCGCGCGCTCCACGGCCTCGTCGCTTTGTCAGACGTTCTCCGTTCATGTTTTTGGTTGTTGCAACCCCGACTTTGAGAGCCGCACGGCTCACGGGGCCATACCCAATAAGTGAAACTTGAAAACACGGCCGCGACCATCGCGGTGGCGGGTGGGAATCCCGCAGTTGTCAGGCGGTGCGTGGGGGCAAGGTGGTGGGGGAGGGTGTGTGGGCAGGGATGTAGGCGGTGGGTACGGAGCGGGTCGTGGCTAGTCCCCCAGCCACCCACCCACCCCTACGTAACATGGCAGCCCCGAATGGACTCGGCCGGCTTTTTGGGTTTTGCTTCGCCCGCCCGCCCGCCCGCCCGCCCCTTCCCCGCCACTCGCCGCCGCCGCCCGGTGAAAATGAATGTCGATCTCGCCGCCGTCCGCTCCGTCCGCACGTTCGCCGGCTCTTCATCCCCAGACGGGGCTCGTCTCGTCGCCTTCACCTTGTTAGGTCTCCGCCACCGCCGCAGCCGCCACAAGACGGTCCGCTGACGGACGCCGCCGCCGCGGGGATTTCTTCTTCTGCTGCTGCTGCCTTCACGGGCGTCTGGCTGAGACGATTTTACTCGGCTTAGAGGCCATGCCACGCTCGAGAAAACACAAGAGAGGTGAGGGGGCATGCCTCCCCGCGGCGGTGGTTTGTTGACTTTAGCTGCCATTGTGCAAGAGTTGTGTTTGTTTGTTTGTGTGTTTGTTTGTTTGTGTGGTGTGGTGTCGTTTAATGCATCGTTAACACCGGGGCTGCGGAATGGTTACCGTGCAGGTACAATGTGGCTTGTGCCGCAACCCACGTTGAAGCAAATGCCTGGGCTCTTACTCTTTCGGTTTTATTCGGTAAAGTAGATACAATAAAACAAGAGTTGTGTGTTTGTTTGTGTGGTGTGGTGTCGTTTAATGCATCGTTAGCACCGAGGCTGCGGAATGGTTACCGTGCAGGTACAATGTGGCTTGTGCGCAACCCACGTTGAAACAAATGCCTGGGCTCTTACTCTTTCGGTTTTATTCGGTAAAGTAGATACAATAAAACAAGAGTTGTGTGTTTGTTTGTGTGTTTGTGTGGTGTGGTGTCGTTTAATGCATCGTTAGCACCGAGGCTGCGGAATGGTTACCGTGCAGGTACAATGTGGCTTGTGCCGCAACCCACGTTGAAACACATGCCTGGGCTCTTACTCTTTCGGTTTTATTCGGTAAAGTCACGTAGATAAAATAAAACAAAATAAAACAATTAAATCACCGACGTTTTCGGAGGCAACGCAAGCTTCCGTCTTCAGGTTAGAAAAGTGAACGCAGAATATCTGTGTCAGGGCTCTTAACCAAACACACGACTGAATAATAAGCAACGCCGAACGGGAGATGCCTCACTAATGCCCCTTTGGCCAAGGGTTGCGGGATCGTAATAAATCCGTGTTAATATGACAACCGCGCAAACCTGTAGACGAACAGAGAAACAATATATACACGGTATTGTATTGTCACGCACTGTCTGATAAGATTTCGAATAGGGTGTTTTTTTTTTAGATAAACAACTTAAGGAATATTAATTGTGTATCAGCATTTGAAGTCAATTTGCTTTAATTTTGTGGTATCGCCCAGAGCAGCTCGTTTATACAAGAGGTTAGTTCACATTGCGTCGTCTTTAACGAGCCTGTCAGATAGATGGACAGAGCTCATGCAGACCTCCTGGCTACTTACACCAGCCCACAGGGGATTATTGTGTCCGTCCGTCCGTCGTGCATACAAAAATGGGAGGGGTGGGGCTGGGTGGAGAGGGTGGGGAGGGGCTGGATGGGGAGGGTGGGGCTGGGTGGGGGGTGGGAGGGGTGGGGCTGGGTGGGGAGGGGCTGTCACCCCGTGGTGCCCTTATAAAACTCAACGTTTAACCCTTCTCACGCCGGCTTGTGCCCGCCCTCACAGTCGGGCATATTTGCGGAATACACCACGTGGTGGTGCCGCCGTTGACCCTGCCCATTGACCGAGCAACCCAACGTTCCTACCAGCCCCCTCCGCAGGAATGTGTTTAAGTTCGACTCTCGCAGCCCGCGACACACCTAGATGTGTACATATAATATGAGCTATTTGGGGACTGTTTACTAATTTAATGTAACCTATTATGACTCAACAACAATACTCGATATTATTTTCACGTTGCCTAGTCTACTCTCCCCACAGAAGTTGTGCAAGGAAAGCAGTCATAGGTACGAGTATCCCTAACTCCTAAAACCTTACCCTAAACACTAAAATATAATCCTAACCGCGAAAACCTCATTTTGAAACCCAACCCTAAACTCCTTAAACCAAACCTTAAACCCGAAACCCCCTAAAACTAACCCTAAATCCTAGACCCCATCCCATAATTCGTAATCCACACCCTAACTTCTCAACCAAAACCTTAGGGGCCATCCATAAATGACGTCACGCACCTGGGGGGGGGGGGGGTGGTCAGACATTTGTGACGATGTGTGACGAGGGAGGGGGTTGAGAAATGTGACGTCACATCAAAATGCGCATCTTTAAATAAATATAGACAACACGTTCTACTTTATTAAATAGACGTTTTAATAAATGTTTTCTCCTACAACATCAGAGTGCAGCGCCACATTAAATACGCACTACAATGACAATAGTTTAAAGCGATTTGAAGCATTTTTTTTTGGGGGGGGGGGGGGGGTGGGACAGAGCTTTGTGACGTCAAATTTGTGGGGGGGGGTCTGACTTTTTGTGACGTATGACGAAGTGGGGGGGGGGGTCAAAAATCGTCCAAGATCGCGTGACGTCATTTATGGACGGCCCCTTATGCATAAATCATGACCATAAACCCTAAATGTAACCCCGGATCCCATAAGTGGCATCCCCTAACATTTAATCAACAAACCCCAACAAAGGTCTGTGCTTGGACCAAAAATCTAGTTTCATGATTGGATAGAACAAATTTGCAGATGCGGCGAAAGGAGTCACTTAAAAATGGTGTGGATGAATTCGGTCCCCCCGTGGGAACGTAAAATTACCACTACTTGCTGGTGACAACAACGCTTAGATGGCCACACCTCCCTTATCAATGCTTGTTTGAATGAGAACATACCTTGATGGAATCCTGACTTTTAATAATATTAATATTTTCATTGTTAATGAGTGTGGCATCGATGCAGATGTGTACACTCGTCAGTAGGGAACATTGCCAAAGGCCAAGGCGTCCTGACTGTATCAAATATGATCAAACCTCGGAAACCAAGCAGGCTCGGAACTGGTTTGTATTGGGGTGGGAGACTTTTTTTGAATACCGGGTGTGGTAGACTTGAGCAGCGAAGTGGTCTGGACAACAATTGATTATTGTCACCCTAAGAGCAGAGCTTTGAGCGCTATCCCTTAATATACTTGCGTCCTTTTTCCAGATACTCAGGTTTCCTCCCACATGCCAAAAACTCATTAATGAACTTGACCAAACTTCCAAATACTGGATCCTCCTGAAAAAGGTCGTAAGTTATAGTGAGACTTTCATGGATAAATAACTTCTTATTGGACAAACTCAGGTTTTTGGTGTTTTTTACTTTTTAAACTTTATGAATAAGCTTGTTTTGTTTATCCAAGCATACTTTATAAAACATGACCACTTAAGGGTACTACAACGTGGTCTACATAGCTTTGTTTCGGAAGATGAAGCCTCATGTTGGGCTTATAAACGAAGTAGTTTTTTTTTTAAACATAAATGAAAAGTGATTGGAGCATTTTCAGAAAAATGTAGAACATTTTTGAGATTCACTGAGATTCTGAGTTGGAATTTGGGTTTCAGCCACTCATGATTACAACTAGTTTCTCAAGTTCTTTGGTTCTTTCGGTAAAGTCACGTAGAATGAGAATAAAATAATAAATTGATAAAATAAAATAGCACAATGAAATTCTCACGACGTTTCGGCCACAACACAAGCGGCCTTCATCAGGTGAAGGGACGAGACTGTCACCTGATGAAGGCCGCTTGTGTTGTGGCCGAAACGTGATAATTTTATTGTGTTATTTTATATTTAATAAATTTATTATTTTATTCTCATTCTACGTGACATTACCGAAATAACCAAAGAAGATGAATCCTTGCAGTCACGAAAGCTTTAAATCGAAATTTAGTTTCTCAAGTGTGACACGTTGATGTTTTTAGCCATTTCACAACGACTGTAAAAAAAAAAAAACCCATTAAGTTACATTTAAATTTTGATTTAAAGCTTTCGTGACTGCAGGGATTCATATTCTTGGTTCTTTCGGTAAAGTCAAGTAGAAGGGAAACAATAAAATAGTAAAAATATAAAATAATAAAATTCTCACGACGTTTCGACTGCAACACAAGCAATCATCATCAGGTGTGGAAACCACAGCAAGAAAATTTGAAAACATGATAGGACCAACACCTCATCCGTGGCAGATCACTGTTATAATTCAGTAGGCTCACATGACATTGACTTCTCCATGACAGAGGTTCTCTGCAAGCCATCTGGCTACCATGAGAACATTCATGAGGCTATCCACATATACAAACACAGAGACAATTTCAACCGAGAAGATGGATTCTGGCTTAGCAATCATTGGAAGGATTTGATAAACCATTTTGGGTCTTAATTGATCACGCTTACGGTGGCTTTCAGACTGCATCCATTCTTTTCGTCTCCCCCCTCTTTTCCGAACATAGATGGACTCGTCCATCTGAATAACTGCCAAATCGCTCTCCGTGGTGCTAACGTTAAAAAACCGCCACTTTTTTCAAATTTTATTGCTGTGGTTTTCACACCTGATGATGATTGCTTGTGTTGCAGTCGAAACGTCGTGATAATTTTATTGTTTTATATTTTTATTATTTTATTGTTTCCCTTCTACGTGACGTTACCAAAAGAACCAATAATATAAGTTACATTTAGTTTTTCACTTTGGCAAAATGCCAACTCAGAGCTATTTTTTTTAGTTTGACTGCCATGTCATGAATATTTCAATAGCAGGGTATGTGTGAGAGTGCAATGCCCATATTGTGGATACAAAATCACTTGAAAGGATCTAAGAAGTAATTCTAATAACACCTTTCATGAGCCCTTCTCTACCACAGGAGGATGCACTGCTCTGCGAGAGTTTCCAATGGACACCGTACATTACGGCATGACATGGATAGCACAATTTGACTAAACTTAACGACAATAATTGCACCTTGTAATGTGCAGTGCTGCATCACAGGCCTGCTGTAAACATAGGAGGGAGGGTACATATGATTCTCAAAAACAAATTAAAACACATGTCGATGACTAACTTCTTTAGTAAAGATGAAAACACAATTATTGTCATTGCCTTTGAATCATCATTCATTACTAAATTAGCAGATATAAGTGCGACTTGTATCCTGTTATCAGATGTCACCATCATGTTGGGTTAAGTGCACATGATGATGCACACTGTATTTCGGCTTGGGAAATACTGCGAATGGTGACTAAATTATTTTAAAATGTACATTTATATGAAAATCTATATACCACATGGAAGCAAAGTTTCTCAGTAATTGTGGATGAGTGTATATTCAAATGTGGGTTTTACAATGATTTGCCCAGGTTTACGTGTGACAATTACTTTGTATAGTAAAGTTGTGTGAAGTATTTAAACAAAATTTGCCAATAAGAAATTCTGACAAATTGCCACATAAATGTCTGTGACAATGCAACACTGGTGCATTTTGAAAATGCGAATTGCACAAATGTTATTCCAGTCTGCATTGTGCAACAACATTCAATGGTTTATTCTCCCTGTTTGTAAAGAGCCAAGAGTTTTATGCTTTAAACAATCCCTCTCTTTTGTACTTTAAGATATTCGACCATGTGTGTAGCTATATCAAGATCATCCTTGAGAATCTGCTCCCTTACCACTTTGAGAATGGAACAGTTAAAATATTAAATGAAACTTTATCTAGTTCTTTGTAAAAATTAATAAACTATGTGCGTTCTCATCAAATAGCCAAAGCCGCGGGTTTTCTATTTTGTTTTGGTATTGCGACTCTACGTTATTTGTTTCATTTAATGTCATTTCAGGGTGCAGCTTTAGATTAAATTTGTTTATTGAGTGCAACGCTGTGTCATTTTTACTCCACCCTTTCTGATAGGCATTCATTGCAAAATTAAACACAATGCAGACATAAGTGAGGCAAGAGGTTAATGCCCCCTTTTAAAAATGAGTAGAGCAATAAAATGCGTACTGTGTACATATAATTATATTTGGTAAATAACTGGGGGGAAAAAAACCTGAAAGGTACACGTATAAGCTTGCTGGTAATCATACAGAGACAAAGTAACTCATGTATCTGAAAACATGCAAATGAGATACATCTTGTTGACTAAATAAAAGTAAGTGGGATGAACAGGGCACGCCACTAGCCGGAATGATTGTGGATGGTCTACACTGGTAATCGAGTGGCAGTCGGTGGAGGGTACATGCTGAAGAGGATTACCATTGCAGAAGTGTTGGAGCTGTGAGATCGACTCGATTGTTTGTGGCATTGTAGGAATTCAAGGAATGGTGACATGATGGGGAGGTCTTCATCCAGCGGTGGGTGGATAATAGCTGTTGATTACGATGACGATGGCTGTTTGTACATTTCCTATTTGCAGGTGGAGTCGCTGTGGAGTCTCCAAAAAATGAGGATGCAGTCTCCTCGTTAGATGCTGTTGCTCAAAACGACAGCACCAATGGGGTGATTGGGGATCATGAAGAAGGTCAGTTTGTAAAGCATTAGCGTCTGTTCACTCACGTCTGATTACTGCATTGGTACAATCACGTATAAATCATGACCAAATCATCCTGCATACACCCCATTATTCCAGGTATAGCAAGCTAAGCACGCTTGAGCCTGATTAGTATGTATGAACGTCTTTCACACCATATGTAGCCAACTGCGCTAATCGGAGTATACAAGTGGGAGACTGCCTGGGAAATCAAGGCATTGCAGTCTTGGGTCTACAACAGGTGGTAGAACAGCAATGGATTTATGATTTCGTCTGTATGAAGCTTTGAGTTTGCAAAAAAATATTTACAGTTTCTCTGGGTTCCTTGCACATGCTAAATATAAGTAACATACAGTGAGGGAAAAAAGTATTTGATCCCCTGCTGATTTTGTACGATTGCCCACTGACAAAGAAATGATCAGTCTATAATTTTAATGGTAGGTTTATTTGAACAGTGAGAGACAGAATAACAACAACAATATCCAGAAAAACGCATGTCAACAATGTTATAAATTGATTTACATTTTAATGAGGGAAATAAGTATTTGACCCCTCTGCAAAACATGACTTAGTACTTGGTGGCAAAACCCTTGTTGGCAATCACAGAGGTCAGACGTTTCTTGTAGTTGGCCACCAGGTTTGCACACATCTCAGGAGGGATTTTGTCCCACTCCTCTTTGCAGATCTTCTCCAAGTCATTAAGGTTTCGAGGCTGACGTTTGGCGGTATGACCTTAATCCCATAGAAAATCTGTGGCCTTACATTCCATGGAAAGCAAGAGATCCTTCAGCCGTGTTTTTATGCCTCATGTTTAAAATGGAAGATGTGTTGGCATTGTCTGGATCCGGCTGTGGTGCTGGGGTTGTACATTTCCGGGGTCAGCAAGTCTGGGAAATCTGAACAGTTGTTTGTGTTGTTCGGTTCTATGCACATGCCTGTTACATTAGTCTCTCTGCATGGCCTGGTAGTTATCCGGAACATATATCAGTGATGACTGTGTGCTGCCAAGGCCTATGAATATCCATCCTTACATAAGAACAACATCATAGTGGCACCACAGTGGCGAGATGTTAACTACCTCGCCAGGTATACTGGAGGTCGTGGGTTTAATGCTGACACTGATGCCTGCTGTATATTTGGAGTTTGCATGTTCTCGCCGTTGTCGAGTGGATTTTTCTTCGGGTCCAGTTTCCCCCCCACATTTAGCAACATATCCGTTTAGAGTATTTGGCTGCTATAAATATCCACGTGAGAAGCCACTTCATTGGGCTATCATTTGTGCCAGGTCCTTTCTGAAACAGAGCTATACAGCTGTGGGCTTTACCTGTTCAAATAAAACTAGTTCAATAGTTAATAGTTATGTTTTCTATTTTGATTTAAAGCTTTCGTGACTGCAGGGATTCATATTCTTGGTTATTTCGGTAAAGTCACGTAGAAGGGAAACAATAAAATAATAAAAATATAAAACAATAAAATTCCCACGACGTTTCGACTGCAACACAAGCAATCATCATCAGGTGTGAAAACCACAGCAAGAAAATTTGAAAAAAGTGCGTAATGGTTTAAATGACACTTCATAATCCATTTAGAATTATTCTGAACTAGTCAAATATTGTGTGCCTTTTCTGACCCAACTGCTAATCGAATTATTTTTCGTAATAATTTAATCTCTAACTTGTGAACAAGCTTCACGCGGATTAAAATCATTCACAGATGTTAGTTACGATGACGTTGCAGCATCAAGTATTTCATTGTCTGTGTCGTATAGCCATCATGATTTATCAAGGGCACACATTTTTTAAAAATATTTGTATGACTTCATGAACGATAACTTGTGATAAAGTCACATAGGTATAAAATAAATCACGTTTAATAATAATAGCTAGGGAACACGTCTATGACATGGACATGTAATAATCACTCGCATATTTGGCCACGACCACAAACATTGTGGAAAAAAAACCTTTTAGAAAAGCGAATTAGCCGATATTTATTAGGAGAAGTCACCTGGTATCTTGATTGATAGCTGCCCCTTTCACTGTGCTTCTGAAGATAGAGGGTTTAATCCGGGTCAAAATAAATCATTATGTAACTGTTTGTTGCACAAAAGTAAAGGAAGCTTAAATGTGTGTTCTGTGAGACATTTTTTAAAATAATGTTTAATGCATATAATTCCTAACAGTAATTTTTTTCCTGCACATCTATTATTTCCATGAACTAGAGTGTTCTGTTATATATTTGGTCTTAAAAGTGCATTGTTTAAAACAAAAAAATTAGGTGTACATGAGTTATTTTTGCAGGTTATCTCATAGTAAAAATGTATTTTCTCTTTGTTTTTCAGATGGGGATGGTTTGGCTGATGCCAATAATGAAGAACTGGAGCTGAAACTGAACCAGTGCATTGAGAACACATTAGACAAGAGGTAACAACTGTAATAAAAATGTTGTCTTTGATCACCGTAAAGTCTTGCCTCTTTGCTAACGTGCGCCCCTCTGTCTACAGTTTAAAAACCCGGCAAGCTGGCCTCAAAGGACTCCGGGGCGTTCTGCGGGAGCAGCTTCTCTACGACGTTCTGATTGATAGACGAGTCACAGTCACCGTCTCTGTTGAGAAATGTCTCAAGAAAGGTACGGAGTTATTTGCGCTACCTTGCAGAAGTGCATGTTTTTTCAACTATATTACATATTTGGCGTTTCAATCTAGATTTGAAGTTTTCGTGACTGCAGGGATCCATACTCTTTGGTTCTTTCGGTAAAGTCACATAGGTATAAAATTAATTAAATCACGACGTTTTGGGCGCAACACAAGCGTCCGTCTTCATGTGGGACAACCACAGTAAGAAACACATTGCTGAAGTAGGCAAAAGGGGCTGCTGTACTAAGAGGCCATATAGGCAAGAGAGGGGGGAGGAGCCAGGGAGGAGAGACAGGGAGGTTGGGGGCGTGGGGTAGGGGAGTGGAGGCTGCAAGTAAGATACAAGCACGGCAAAAACATGCTGGGGTGGGGAAGTGAGCGGGGCTGGGAGTGGGAGGGTTAGGAAACTGGAGATGCGGACATGAAGGCAGGCCAAAAGCAGTTGTGGTTTTACCTGGTTAATAACATCCTTCCAATGATTGCTCAATCTGTATCCATCTTCCCGGTTGAAGTTATGTTTATATATCTGGATGGCTTCATGAACAGACCTTTGATAGTAGCCCGAAGGTTTGCAGAGCACCTTGGTCTAGGAAAAAAACAATATCATGAGAGCCCACAGCATTATAGCAATGGTCAGCCACGGCGGAGGTATTAGTCCTGCCATGTTTCAGATCTGCCTTGTGTTCGTGAACACGGTCCGACACATGCCGTTTCCTTTCCCCAATGTAACAATCACCACAGGTGCAACTTAGTTTGTAGACTCCAGAGTATTGCATGTCAGGAATGACATCCTTCACAGATGGGATTAGATCACGGATTTTGTGTACTGTACTAAATCGGACCTGGATCTTGTGTTTGTTTAAGATTTTGGAAATATTTTTGGTAACGCCTGCTATGTATGGTAACGTCTCAGGGGGTTGTTTCTCCATGGTTGGAGAAACAGCTTTGCGTATAATGCGGTACGAATATCCATTAATCTTAAGGGCCTGGTGTACGTGTTCCAGTTCACTGGCTAAGTGGTGTTGGTCAGAAATGCAGTGAGCCGTATGGTGTAGTGTTTTGATGAGCGCATTTTTCCGTGCCGGATGGTGGTGGGAATCAGGTTTCATATAGGAATCTGTGTGGGTGGCTTTCCTGTAGACCGAGTATCCCAAAGAGCCATCAGGTCTCTTCTCAAACAAAACATCCAGGAATGGTAGCTTGCCATTCTTCTCCACTTCCATGGTGAATTTGATGGATGGGTGTATGGAATTAATGTGGTTGAGATCTAATCCCATCTGTGAAGGATGTCATTCCTGACGTGCAATATCCTGGAGTCTACAAACTAAGTTGCACCTGTGGTGATTGTTACATTGGGGAAACGAAACATCATGGCTTGGTCCGTGTTCGCGAGCACAAGGCAGATCTGAAACACGGCAGAACCAATACCTCCGCCGTGGCTGACCATTGCTGTAACGCTGTGGGCTCTCATGATATTGCAAACCTTCGGGCTACTATCAAAGGTTTGTTCATGACGCCATCCAGATATATAAACATAACTTCAACCGGGAAGATGGATACAGATTGAGCAATCATTGGAAGGATGTTATTAACCAGGTAAAACCATAACTGCTTTTGGCCTGCCTTCATATCCGCATCTCCAGAGGACTAAGCCTCCCACTCCCAGCCCCACCCACTTCCCCTCCCCACCCCGGCATGTTTTTGCCGTGCTTGTATCTTACTTGTAGCCTCCACTCCCCCTACCCCACACCCCCAACCTTCCTGTTTCTCCTCCCTGGCTCCTCCCCCCTCTCTTACCTATATGGCCTCTTGGTGCAGCAGCCCCTTTTGCCCACTTCAGCAATGTGTTTCTTGCGGTGGTTGTCCCACCTGATGACGGACGCTTGTGTTGCGCCCGAAACGTCGTGATTTAATTAATTTCGTTTTATACCTACGTGACTTTACCGAAAGAACCAAAGAGTACGTTTGGTGTTGTGTTTTAATTATGCACATATTAATTACAGTTTGTGTTAGCACGCATGCATGCATGTGTTTTGTAGAATTTATTTGCTGCTCTGGAGACCCAAATGCCAATGTCAGCATACATCCAAGAAATTTAATGCAAGTGATTTTGGAAAACGATCCGTCATGCACTTTAGTGGCTCTGCCTGACGTAGTTAGAGAGAAAAAAGAAACAAGAGTTGATCAATTTCCCCCCACATATTGTTAAAATGTAATTGATTTATGTTCGTGAATCCGCCGCTTGTTAAGCAAAAGAACAAAAGGTGCAATGTTGCTGCGGCATCCGCGGGGAATTACATCATGCACATTGAACCTCGTTTGTTTGTTTTTACGCCGAAGCATTTTGTAAAATGGCTGTTTGCGGGACTTTCTGTCTTCAGGGCCGCATTTTAAATGAGCAGCTGTTTACTAAAGCGTACACCGCAATTTGTATGCCCCCCCCTCTCCCTTCCCTCGTGAACCGAGTGACAGGTTCCGTGTGGTGTTCACGTGTGCGCCCGCTGTTGTAGGAAATGGCGAGGAGCAGGTGTGTGCAGCCACGCTTGCCTCACTTCTCTGCATTCAACTGGAGGGCGGCCAGGAGGCAGTCGAAGTCTACCGGGCTACCCGACCACTACTGGTCTCAATCCTCATGGACAAAACAGCCACTGCAGTGGCCAGGCAGAGTGTGAGTTTAAAGTGGGGCAAGAATTGTCTGTGGGCTGACTGACATCCACCTGTTTTGCATGCTCCCTTACCATCGGGTGCCAAAACTCTGGTGGATAGTCGCGTAAGATTCCTTAAGTGGAACTTTCCCCTTCACACCGACTTACACGAACATTTTCACCTAGGTTGTTGATGCAACTGTCTCCAGGCCTCCCTACTGTTCTGTACCAGCCAGCTATTGTCCGTAACGCTACATTGCGGGGAGCAGAGGGCAGTGGAGAAAAATACATTGTTGTACTATATTATGCCTCCACGTCTATGTTGCCCGCTGTCACCAACCCACATTGACCAGAGGTGGTGGATTATGGTCAGGTGACCCTCGTGACCTGTATGGCGTGGGGATGGACTAAAGGGCTCTTTATGTCTGGGAACCAGTCACCAATTGTCGTGCAACCATCTGCCAAAAAAACAAAAGAAACCCATTATCCATAAGAGTGTTTTTTTGGGATAGCATAAATATACACGTGTCGTTAAACCCACCGCCACCAGACACAACCAACTAGTAAGGTTTGTCACGTGAACAAAACATGCCAATCTGTTACTAGTACAGCACACCGGTGTCTTGGAGAGTTAATTCACAATATTTTAACGAAACATTTATATTTATGCGATCTAACACAAAAAAATATTTTGGATACTATCAGTCGCGGAAGCTTATGTGTTAAACAAATCCACTTATGCCAACGACAATATAATTGATCTCGTTCTGAATTGGGATAACAACAAAATCACACAGGTTGAGTAACAGTGATTGGATGAAAATATCTACACATTTTAAAAAATATATACGATTGCCTGTTGGTGTAAGATTTCCGTGTAAAATGTCATTACATTACCTTAGCTGAGATGACATCAATGCTTATAAAGTCACCTGCAATCTATATTTTTACTTTCTGTAAGGTTGGCACTAGGTATGCATGTAAGGAGAGTTATGTATTCTTTTGCTCACAATACTTGTTCGGCCCTGTTGTAAATCCACTGCGGCATGAAGGCCTTCCCTTGCCGTACAGGATGCAACAGATATTTGACCATACTTCACCTGCTAGTCGGTTTAAGTTGGTAAAGGAGGAGTGCATAGACATTGCAGCATCGTAAAGTACAATAATGCATTTTGCTGCACTGCCCTTTAAACACCACATGACGTAACCCCATGTCAGCCTATGACACCAGTTTAATATTTTGTGGTCACCCATCCAAACAATGTCCAGGGTCAAATCTGTTTATACTTGCATGATTTGATAATATCAGGTCCATTTTGGGGGATTTAGTCAGACTAACACTAACAATACATGCATTGCATGTTGCTTGTGTGAATCAAGTATTTTCGATTCATATATGTTGTATGTAATAGGTTTACATGACCTGTGCAGCTACGAGACATGCTACATTCACCACAATGTTTAAAAAAATAAATTGAATACCTAATTGTGACAATTTGGCAAACTGCGAGTAGAGAAAATAATTGCGTATAACGTTAAGCTTCATCGGGACCTCGAAGCCACACTGTAACCTTGTAAACTGTAGCACGTCATTAAATCTGAAAAAAATAATCTATTTCAGTGCGAGTATTAAACTGTGTAACTTGGCACGCTGCCTGCATAATCAGTGCTTCTGTCGCAGACAATTGAGTCACTAAGCACATCTGTCATAGGTAAGTGTAGCCTTGCTGCTGGGAATATGCTCTAGTCGAGTGGTTTTTATTTTTGGATATCCCATTTGGATGCACACCAGGGCTCCTCTCGTACTCACTAGCAAAGGAATGCTGCAGTCTTTAGTTACATTTTGATAGTACAGCTGGGATTGCTATGGACCATGACTTTGCATTAAAGTGGTTCTTAGCCACGGTCTTAAAGGCCCTGTGCTTTCCATTAAATAAGAAAGTCAATCCAATCTAGAGTGGTTAATGCCATGATGAAAACTGTCAATGATAGCTTGCAGTGTATCCATTTTAGTGACTGATTGGAATCAATGCCCACTGAAACCAATTTTCAGTTTTAAAGTAAAAAAAGGAAATTATAGGATGTGCTATACCTCTGGTGATTTAAAGCATCATTGAAAAGTGCATAAAAGGTAAAATAAAATATCAGTCTTCTTTCTGGAAGCATTTTCAGCCTAATTGCAACTTTCTTTGACAATTATATTTAGCGTTACATCCTCATATGATATGCGTTCACTGGCCTTGTTTCTGTTGTGTAATGGAAACATTTGACCTCTGTTAAACAGTGTGCATCTGCCCTTGGAATTTGCTGCTTCGTCACAGCTGATGACATCGAGGTAATCGTATACTGTATGCAAACCAAACAATAGCATTTCAACCTTATGCAAAATTTTGAGTCGGATAAATTAATGTTTGGGTTAAGTAAAGAATGCTGCTTTCAGTTATATAGCTGATGTTTTTGTAGGTTTATTGGCAATCCTTAGTCTATGCTGCGGGTTGTACCTAGTGGTTATCTTCGCTTTCATGACTCATGTTCGAGTTGACACATTTAGCCTGATTGTAATATGCGAGAATGAAGGACCCACTGTACAGGTGTTTTGTTCTTCCAAAGGCTTGTCTACATTCACAGTCCTGTTAAATTATAAGATGTTTAATCAAACAGTCACATTTGGCCAAATGTTACACGTTTTACATAATGAGAAAACACATTATACCTCAATCACACAAGCCATATAAATATATAAACATGTTTTACAAATTGTTTTACTTTAATGACTCATTGCATTCCAGTGAGTAATTATCTTACACCACCTACCACTCAACTTCACCGACCAAGATGATTCAACACTCATCATCATCAGCCATGAATAGTCTACTGCGGATGGAGGCCTCTCCAACCCATTGCATTCTCTCATCGATTTGCAATGTAAAAATCCATCTAGCACTTGGATTCAAGTTGCGCTCACTGCTCTACCGCTGCAGAGAAAACGTCTTTTTGACTGCATCCTTTTAAGAGTGTTCTCACCTTTGGCTGCCCCTCCGTTGTTAGCCTTGGCCACTGACCATCATCCCTTGTGACGTGACCTGCCTAAGCCCACTTTTCTTCACAGACAAGTCTCTTTGATAGTTGAACGTGTACTCGAGGGCTATTTGTCGAAAATAAAGATATACCTTTCCTCTCCGTGACACTAGATATATATAAAAAAAAAACATTTTAGTATTCTAATTCGTACTTTATTATACGACTCTCTAGGAGGTGTCTGCAACCATGACGGTGTTGGAGACGCTGTTCAGCCCATGTGGATGTGAGGCAGGAGGAGTGAGTGGGGTGTTGGCAGCTGGCCAGGCACAGCGTGCGCTCCAGGCCAGTTCCCTGCTGGCCTGGACTCTGCTCCTCACCATCTACCCTGCCTCTGGCCTGCACGCCCTGCTGCAACGGTGGGGGCGGTGCGGGAATTAAGGACATCTCTGGGCTTCACAAGCGCAGCTTTCATTTAATCGGAACACGGGCCTTGTATGTTTCAAACATCACCTAAAATGTGTAATAGGCATTGATTTGTGTGACGGTGGGTTACCAATTTTGGCGTCGCTCCACAAACAGAGTCTGCCAGAGTGAGGTAGAGCAAGGTGTGTCAGACTGTACCTTGCGGGTGATCACACAACATCCCAGGGTCGAGGCAGCAGAATGGGTTTGAACAATTTATTCAGGTTCAGCAAGGTTATGGGAGGTGGGGTAATAGTGGTCACTGCCACTTCCTCCAAGAAACAGAGGCACCATGCCTTCCCGACACTATTACACACACACCTAAACCCTGCGCAATCCCGTCAGAATCACATTGAAAATACCACTCTTGGCCAGGTAGGGGTATGATTCACGCACACCTAGTCCCTACACAAATTCGTCATGTGCACCCACACCAGCATGCAATTATTTTACTGGACCATGTGTCCAGACACAGGAAAACAAGCACCCAAAGGTTTAGGTCCTTCAAGTTATGGTCAGAATCGCACCCTCCAGTCATCCACTACAGCAGACACCCCCTTCGTCCACGGTATGCTACGGTGGCCACTTCTCCATGCTCACCTAGAGTGAGCAGCACTCCCACTGTACACTAGTACCCTTCTAGGGAAACGGCAGCAGCACTGGCAGCAGCAGCTACACCACACAGCAACAGCACTCGCAGCATAGCAACACCACACAGCAACAGCACTCACAGCATAGCTACACCACACAGCATAGCTACACCACACAGCAACAGCACTTAGCAGCATAGCTACACCACACAGCAACAGCACTGGCAGCATAGCTACACCACACAGCAACAGCACTTAGCAACATAGCTATACCACACAGCAACAGCACTAGCAGCATAGCAACACCACATACCAACAGCACTCACAGCATAGCTACACCACACAGCAACAGCACTCACAGCATAGCAACACCACACAGCAACACCACACAGCATAGCTACACCACACAGCAACAGCACTTAGCAACATAGCTATACCACACAGCAACAGCACTAGCAGCATAGCAACACCACACACCAACAGCACTCACAGCATAGCTACACCACACAGCAACAGCACTCGCAGCATAGCAACACCACACAGCAACAGCACCAGCAGCATAGCTACACCACACAGCAACAGCACTGGCAGCATAGCTACACCACACAGCAACAGCACTTAGCAGCATAGCTACACCACACAGCAACAGCACCAGCAGCATAGCTACAACACACAGCAACAGCACTTAGCAGCATAGCAACACCACACAGCAACAGCACCAGCAGCATAGCTACACCACACAGCAACAGCACTGGCAGCATAGCTACACCACACAGCAACAGCACTTAGCAGCAAAGCTATACCACACAGCAACAGCACTTAGCAGCAAAGCTATACCACACAGCAACAGCACTAGCAGCATAGCAACACCACACAGCAACAGCACTAGCAGCATAGCAACACCACACAGCAACAGCACTTAGCAGCATAGCTACACCACACAGCAACAGCACCAGCAGCATAGTTACACCACACAGCAACAGCACCAGCAGCATAGCTACACCACACAGCAACAGCACTTAGCAGCATAGCAACACCACACAGCAACAGCACCAGCAGCATAGCAACACCACACAGCAACAGCACTCGCAGCATAGCAACACCACACAGCAACAGCACTTAGCAGCATAGCTACACCACACAGCAACAGCACTTAGCAGCATAGCAACACCACACAGCAACAGCACTTAGCAGCATAGCTACACCACACAGCAACAGCACTAACACAGTTTAAAGCAGACAGGGTCGGGCTGAGCAGAGGCACCTGGCTGCGCCCTCTTCCCACTTGACAAGCTCCCCGGCCCATCTCTCTCACCGTGCTCTTCCAGTTCTGGCCTGCCGCCCTCACCTGACCGGGCTCTTGTTGTGGTTTCGTTGCTGCCTCATTGACGCTGCACATAAGCTGGCGTGCACTGCTGGTGCGAGGACCTTTCTTGGGCAGCCTTCCTCCTCCCTCTGTAGCTCTGTTCACAGCCCGCTTTATATGCTTATCTACACAATATGTGCCACACCTGGACCTGTTCAGGACATTTCTGGGTCTCTTAAATGAGTCGCCACCTGCTTTGAATCTGCCCCCCCCCCCCCCTGAAATTAACTCAACAACACCAATGTACATTCAATTCACCCGTAACATGGATTATGGAAAGAAATCATCTGCACTTACTGAAGAAATGCATTGTGGTCCTCTTGGCTTGGGTCACCATCGATATAAATTTTAGCAAATGCCAGACAGCAGTGATACAAGGATAGACAAAGATCAGTTTGTCCTTATTAGGACTCATCAACAAAGTAGAGTCAAGAATGCTCACTGCTACAAAGTTTGGTTCTGGAAACTGTATATGTCGAGTCTCCACTTCCACACTGTAGGGCCCAACAGCACAGCTATTTTTCCAAAAATAACCGAATCTGTATGATAAGTTATTCTCATCGTTTTCAGATTTGATTACGAGCCTCATGATGCGCCGCTAGCACGTTCAGCACGTTCGTTGTTTTGCAAGTGGTGTTCTTCCTGGGGGCGTAATGAAAAATTAACAGAGGCATACATTATGGATATGCACGTAATATGTTTGTACACATAGCCAAAGGAGAGAACGTGCCCGATTGGACCTCCCCCACGGAGATGGAGCAATGAGATCAGCTCATCCGCGTGATTGAGATGGTACTGTCATGGTGCGGACCGTGATGGATGGCGACTGTGAGGGGAGACATTCCTCCAGCAGTGGATAGATCATGGTTGATGGTGATGCATAGTGCAGTGTATTGCAGCTGTTGAGGCCAACTGATTTTGGCTCAGGACATGCAGCCCTTGATTCTTGCATGAATGTTCTGTATGCTTTGTGCTGTGTGCTTATATTTTGAAGCTTTATAAAAAAATTATTTACTTTATAACTTTAGCATAGATATTAAGTTATAGCTTGTCCTATTGAGTTAAAACTATATTTTTGGTTTATTTCATTTTAACAAAAACAATTTACAATCGAACAAAAAGTTCAGCATCATTAAAGACGAGTCACAGCTTCAATTGGTGTATAAAAAAGACACTTTAAAAACAGTAGTATCTTGATTCATAATTGAAATATAGGTTAAACTTCCGTCAAGACATGTATGATGTGGCCTTTCAGGCAAGTCATTATAATCTTGTTGTGCCAGTCTATCAGCATTCAGTAGATTGTGAGGCTGGATAATAAAGTCCCAAAGAAGAAGCACCCTTGTCTTACACTGGAGCTTGTAACCTTGGGGCATGAATAGAACTTATGCGGAACTGAAAAAACTTGAGTCCCCGATGTCATGCTCCCTACCCACCAAAACTGCCTGCCCTTGAACATTCATCACTGTGGAAGCCTACCCATAACTTGTGCTAATTATAGGAGCAATATACCTTGAGGTCATCCTTTGGTATGTAAGCCAATTAAATGCACAGCATTGTAACTAAATGCAGCGCTCTAATGACCATGATGTCATTGTCATTGCTTGAGTGCAGTTAATAGCTGAGTCAGTTTGTTTTCTTGCCCTGCCTGCGTATGTTTATTCTGATATATTTGTAGTTTGATTTTATTATAACTGGCCAGGTGGCGCATCTTAGAGTAATTGGAAGGTTTATGAGTTCAAATCCTAGTTGGGGGTAGATTTAGTAATTTCTCCCTCCAGGGTCAATGTCAAAAATGGCTCTATTGGGAAGTCAACAATAATTTTCCGATGGTTAAACTCGCCCCCATGCTGAAGTGAGCAGGAAAGCACTTTTGCCTTTTTGCCCACCCCCCCCCCCTTCAAATTATTTGTATCACATCTAAGTGTAACCAATTCTTAAGATGCTTTATAGAAACTGAAAAATATGTCATAGAGACAGTCATTCACAGGCAGAGGGAGAAAAAAATGCCTGTAGTTTGTACAGGGAAAGGAAAGTCGATAGCACTGATTACTGGGGTCAGGGAGTCCAGAATATGGGGTAGCAGATGAGAATGAGCGACCTCTCGCTGGCAAAACTGATTCGGCGCTTCAATGGAAGTCCCTGATTGCTAGAGTAGAGTGCCTAGAGGCCAGGTTAACTATCGACGTCATTGTCATTTATTGTTGTGTAAACCAAAACTTTGCCCATCGCGGGTTTTCCCCGTCGCAGATTTTACTATTTGGGCCAAATTTGTTGAGGCACAGTTCACCGATCGTGCCCATGTGGTTCGACCATTTTGGCATTTTTGACCGTGAGATTCCTCACAGTCAAAACTGGAGGAATACACACTTCATCATCATCATTCATCGTAAGTAAACATTAATAGTTTTTCTTTTAGCCACATAAATTTACTGTACATGTCATTCATCTTTATTTTCAGGTTTACGTACAAGTGTACAGTACTGTACATACACTACATCGAAAATCATTCTATACATTTACTGTACAAGTTGTAGCAGTTGTCCTGTTGTATCGGTTCCGCCTGATGACGGTCGCTTGTGTTGCGACTTTACCGAAAGAACCAAAGAGTATGGATTCCTGCAGTCACGAAAGCTTCAAATCAAGATTGTACAAGTTGTACGTAATACTATAGAGAATATGAAGCATATTTTATGTAAAAAAATACTTCCCGGTTCCTGTTTGGTTTCATGTAGGGCAACAAAACAAAAGTAGGGGGGGTGTCATATTACGAATCGGGGAACCAAAACCTATTTTTCCCGTATGCGTGTGAGTTTGCGGATTTGCCGATTGGGCAGTTTTTTGGTGCACTTCAAGACCTGTTTCTTTCCTTTGTTTAACAGGCATCTTTCTAGTCTTCCTGAGCTCCTCTCTTGCGAGGACGTGACTGTGAGAATTGCTGCCGGGGAGACAATGGCTCTGCTTTTTGAACTATCGAGGGAACTGGATCAGGTATGTTACAGTAGGTACCCATCCTCAATGGAACCCGAACTCATGCCGCTTCTCCTTTGATACAAGTAATTGGAAAGTGCGTGGGAGAAATGGTGGTATGAAACAGCTTGACTTTGTCGCAAGTGTGTATTGGTTAGCAACTGAAGTTGCTTTAATTAAAGCTGTATCTCGTACATGAGCCTAGTAACTAATGACTGCATAAAAATGCATTCTTGAATTTGGTTATGCACTTGACGTGGTGAACTTCCAATTCTGAGAATTAAAAATACAGTAAAACCTTGGATTGCGAGTAACTTGGTCTGCGAGTGTTTTGCAAGACGAGCAAAAAATTTAAATAAATATTAATTTGATAAACGAGCGAGGTCTTGCAATACGAGTAGTATGTATATGATTTGTCTGCCGAGCGTCACATGATCACAACTGATATACGAGTGCTTTGATATACGAGTGCTTTGGATTACAAACACGTTTCCGGAACGAATTATGCTCGCAATCCAAGGTTTTACTGTATCAGCTTAAGTGCCATGCGATGAACAATACTCTCGCAGGTACGGTGGAAAATGTATTTCCACTCAAATTAATTTGAGTCGTCTTGAAGAGATCTCAAAAGTAGCTAGCCCCCTCGCTCGTCAGCCAGCCAGCAAAACTTTATTCTAATATACTATGGTAGTATGATAGTGTCTCCCGGGTTTTTGCGTGGGATACACAGCTGGGGTATCCCACCCACGAGGGTGGGTAAGGCAATGCTGCGGGATTCGGGTGACATCATCACGCAGATGTGCTCGGTGACATCACTGCGCACAAGCACCTGGCCACACCCCAGCTGGGATTCCAGGCATGAATCCAGCCAGCAAAACTTTGTTCCAAACACAGTATGACAAAGCTTAAATTTGTGGGACAACAGCCCATGCACGTATTTAATAGATAAAAGCTGCTTGTTTTTTTGGGTCGCGCCTGCCGCAAAGGTGTTTTGCTTGCGCGTTTGGCTTGGGCAGGACTTTGTCTTCGAAGGCACCGAGGGGCTCTTCTCCCAGCTCAAAGCTTTGGCCACGGACGGCAGCAAACACCGGGGAAAGTGTGATCGCCGCAAGCAGCGCGCCATCTTCCGCAAGGTCCTGCACTCCGTCCAGGTGCTCTCTCTTCGCTGCGAGATTGCACGCGGGTGGTGTGCAAACAAGCGTGCGTTGATTGCGTTTAATCGCTGGAGGCTCGTGAATGGTTTTTAATGGTCCACTCCAGAAAAGTGATTAATGGGCAATATTAATAATTAAAATATGACCGTTACTTTATTATGAATGCAGTGGTGCAGTGGTTAGCAAGAGCATGTTATGATCCTGGTGACCCGAGTTCAATTCCGAGCCACGGCTGACATCGGTGGCGAGGGATAACTTAACCGGTTCTGTGGCTGCCCTTGATTGGCCCACGCTGAGCAGTGTCGTGAAGTGTGGTGATACAACGTCACCGTCTTCATCCAGAAATGTATTTATAAAAGGCTATTAAAAAAAAATCATGAATCTACATTTGACAAAAGTGGCTTCCCGTTCATACTAGCTTGTGGTGGAAATTCAACATTAATGCAGCGGGGGTGAGATCATCATAAGACAACCATGAGTAACTTAGTGAAAACCAAATTTCAAAAAAATTAAATTGATGTGTTTTTTTTACAAATCGCTATTTTCATACCTAATTTGTTTGACACGCACACAGGATGGGGAGGTTCTGGCCGAAACAGTCAAGTTCGGCCTGGAGTGCATGTACGTGAACAGCTGGGCACGGAAACGCACCTATGAGGCCTTCAAGGAGGCCCTCGGCCCTGGAGTGTGGCCTCACCTCCAGGTTGGTCCCACTTCCATTGTACAGTCAAACTGCCCTTATCTGCCTGTTTGAAGCAGGGCTTTGGCTACGGGAGTGACTCATACGTGAGCTCTCTCTCTAAAACTAAGTCACCAAGCTTCCCAAATCTTTCAACGACTCGCCTGCCATGTCACACATCCACCCATGAAGGCTTGGATATTCTCAGCCAAAGAGCTACCAAACCCAAGGTGTTATTATAAAGGTGCAGCTCTTAAAATGCTTGCCTACACCACTGCTGGTGGTAGGGTGGGGGGTGGGCAATGTTGCAAGCCCATTAATTAGTCTCATTCATTGAGGTAATTTTTCAACATTTGGATGTTTGCCCAACACCAGTTACATTTACATCATTAGACCTCCTTTGCCAGTACCAAAATATAATAATAGGGTTTTTCCCCTTTTTTTCTGGCAACAAAACTGAAACCTTTTTACAAGGATTCATGTCTGCATTAAACACAATACCGGCTGTCAAAATGCAAACAAAAAACATACTATGATAAAATATGCATTGTCCTTGAAACTGATTGGTCCACACCAAAGGACGGTTTTATTTTGAGCCTCGAACCAATTGGTGCTCGACCAGATGACGCCAAAAGGCGTGTTTGCATTTTGACTGCAGGTATTGTGGTTAATGCAGACATGAATCCTCGTAAAAAGGTTTCAGTTTTGTTGCCAGAAAAAAAGGGGAAACCCCATATTTGGTTATTTGGTTATTAGCTCAAGGAGGTAACTGGTGAACGTGGAGGAAACCCATATGGAATAGGCGAAGAACATCCAAGTTCCACACAGTAAGGCACTCGAGTTGAAAATTTAACGCAGGACCTTCTTGCTGTTAGGCACAAATGGTACCACTGCACCACCCCGCTGCCCCCATTAATTTAATGCGATTATCTGTGCATTAGAAGAGTGCTCCCGAAGTGGAAGCATGTATCCACCTATAGCCCACAGGTGCAGCCTGTTGACGCGACATAATGTAATCTCATTTCGCTTGCATGCGTGCATAATTGTCGTTTATAAAGCTTCCATCTTTACCATTTGAAAGACCTCATGCAGTTCAAACACAGAAATTGCATTTGTCAACATGTCTGGGGCGGATTTGTTTACTCAATTTCGTTGTGCCACTTATTTCATTGAGCTCATACGAGAACAACTCCTTACGGCATACTTTTAAGATTCATTGCGCGTTCGTTTTCAGCGTGGATCTTTACAACTCGAGCACACTCGCACTTCCCTGACAGCTTCTGAGTGCACTTGAGCAAACAGGAGTTGGCACGAGTGGGGGGAATTGGGTTTATGTGCTTTGCTATTGTGCACTTTGTACAAAAGAGGGTTCTTTCTCCCCGAAAATAGGAAACAAATTGTGGCAGCTCGGAGTAATAACAAATGGACTAAGTTAACACAAACCACTCAGCAGTAGCGCGCACGTGTGTGTGGCCAATAAGAATTTAACAGTGCCATCGGTTCATTCATCAAAACTGCGCTCGCGATACACGCAATCGAGTTGTACGTCACGGAATCTTTAGGCGAATTAAGCAAACAAAGCTGCTGCACGCGAGACTGCACAAAAAGCGAGAAGCGTTGCAACCGAGCCGGTAAACAAAAACGAGACTCGAAACAAATTGATTCTTGAATCGAATCGCGAACCCCGTTCATGACGGTTCCTCAAGTGGCTGGGTTTAGGTGAATTGTTGAATGGCAAATGGTCATTTCAGCTGTTGGCAATTCATTCTCGGTGACCACTTTCCCTTTTGATGCATCTTGAATTCGTTTCACTTTTTATGCAACACCACTCTCGGTTGGTATTCTTAATGGAGGGGTGATGGATTAAAGGTATTGAATTAACGTGTCATTCAAAGTGCTGTATTGCTTTGTCCTGACCAAACCACGTTACATTCAGTTCCAATATTAACTACATGTTATAGGTTATTCCTGCATGGATACTGTATGCGATTATTCAAGGAGAGAGTGCAATGCAATGTTGTGACGATAGTATGAACAACAGATGTCCAGTACCCTTTGGTTACTGAGTATATTTTTATTTCCGCTGTGATAGAAGCATACATTTATATCTCTACAGCCTGACAGTAAATTTACAACGATGTGGATGCGAGGTTATTTTTAATCAAGATGATCTCACATAGATCACCATCTGCCCATGTCTAAACATTGTTGATTTTTATTTGGCAGATAGCATTTCTTCATTTCAAACGGTTGATGCAAGCAGAGTAGAATTGAATTTCTTTCAATTATTAGTATTGAATTGGGTTCCTGACCTCTTATTATTTTTGACAGACATCCCAAATTGCATCGCTTGTGATTCACATGGCTTTTAAATCCAAGAGAAGATCCTATGCTATGCTATTTCTCTGCCTGTCTCCCCCCCCCCTACACCTTTTGACAAATGTGTTTTAAACATACATTTCCTTAAACGTGGTCCGTCATTTGCGGTGCATGCAACGCGGTTGTGAAACGGTTCGTATTCCACTATGAATTGCTGTGCACTGGTTTAAAATGTCATTTTATGTTCCAGGGAAATGTTCTACTCAGAGACATCTTTGAGCTGGGACCACCGATATTGATCAACGCAGCTTCTGTCCAAGCTACAAAATTGAGTAAATTTGAGCGGGTAAGGCCTTCTCACGTATTTGGCATTTATTGTGCTTCTGCGGTCGTCTGGAATGCTCTTCTTTTACGTACGGTGCGAAAGAAGTTCAATGTACGTGCTTGGCATTTAAAGTTTGTCTAACAATGATCGAGAAAAAATGTGGTACAAATTTTGATTTAAAGCTTTCGTGACTGCAGGGATTCATATTCTTGGTTCTTTCGGTAAAGTCATGTAGAAGGGAAACAATAAAATAATAAAAAAATAATAAAAATATAAAACAATAAAATTCTCACGACGTTTCGACTGCAACACAAGCAATCATCAGCAGGTGTGATAACCACAGCAAGACAATTTGAAAAAAGAGGAGGGGGGAGACGAAAATAATAAATGCGGCCTGAAAGCCACCGTAAGCGTGATCAATTAAGACCCGAAATGGTTTATCAAATCCTTCCAATGATTGCTAAGCCAGAATCCATCTTCTCGGTTGAAATGGTCTCTGTGTTTGTATATGTGGATAGCCTCATGAACGAATCTCTCATGGTAGCCAGATGGCTTGCAGAGAACCTCTGTCTTGGAGAAGTCAATGTCATGTGAGCCTACTGAATTATAACAGTGATCTGCCACGGCCGAGGTATTGGTCCTACCGTGTTTTAGGTCTGCTTTGTGTTCACGGATGCAGTAAGAGACATGTCGTTTGGTTTCTCCAATGTAACTAATGTGGTACAAAACAAAAATCAACAAAAAATATCGAAAGTGTTCACGACCACGAGGCAAATATTTTTGATGCTCAAGTAGTTTGCATAACATTTCATATAGTTTAGCCAAGCATGCCCATAATGTATTTTGAAACCAATAAGTCAATGCTTTGGGCTGAACTTCGCAATAGATTTGCATTCAAATAGACCGGTTTTAATGCATGTAATTTTGTCCCATAATTTTTAGAACAACTTCAACACGGCAACGTTCAAGGCACGGACTAAATCAAGAGCCTTCCTTCGCGACAAACGCGTTGACTGCTGGTGGAACGACTAACCCAAAACTATGGGCTATATATATACACACACGTGGTATTTTGCCTGTGATATTGGGCAAAATGGAAAGTTAAATGTTTTGAGGCTGCAGCATCTGCAGATGGATTTAACAGACATTAATTTTAACAGCTGTCTCATATTTTCAATAAAGAAAGTCTCCCACACTTATTTTTATGCCTGATGCAGTTTCCCCATGGGGCAATTATCATGTTGGCATAGCTGCTGCATAAGATCAGACTGCCCTGCATGAATGAATGCTGAAAGACATGCTTTTATATTGTTACTTACATGGAAGTTAACAGGGGGATCTGTTTACCGACTGATGGTTGACAGTTTTCAAACATAACACGCAATGTTGACCAATGGCTATTACATCGTAACATGTATAAATAATACTGAAAATAAATATAATCCTGATGGGTTTTTTTTTACGAGAGAATGCAAAACAAGCTGAGAAAAACAAACACGAAAGAACTTGCACATCGATTACACGTTGCACAAGCTAAACATTGCTATTTATCTGTATTTTAAGTTACATGTGTCAGTTGCCTAACTTATTAAAATAAAAAACCCGTCATTTTTTACATTTGCTGGAATAGTTTGCTGGGGCTGTGTAACCATAGTATTTACTGAAGCAAATGTGTACCATTATAACAGCAGAATAAATATTGAAACCTCAAACAACTGATTTCGTGTGGTTTTTGCCGTTTCGCATTGCATATCATCAGTGCCGGATTAAGCCAAAGCGGGGCCTGTAGCATATGTTATAAAGGGGCCCTAAAAAAACAAGTATTTAAACACGTGATTTGGTGCTTTCGTGATTGCAGGAATTACTCTGGTTCTTTCGGTAAAGTCACGTAAGAACCAGAGTATTTAAACACATACATTTTTTATTTGCATAGTAAAGTAATTGTATATTTTTTATTTGCTATACAGCCGGATAATACGACAAATCGCTCACCTTAAACACCCAGTCGTTCGTAAAAGTTGAAGGCAGTATAGTACTATAGTAATAGAGCAAGTGCAGAATCACTGAACCGGAATTGATGGCTTGAAAGCATTCAGCGCGGGGCCCTTGAAAGTGCGGGGCCCGTAGCTACTACATATGTAGCGACTTTTGCTACTAGGATAATCCGGCACTGCGTATCGTTACATAAGTGCCCCGCACGGGTTAAAACGTGGAGATTTGCGTTCGTGATAAGCGTCCATGACAGCAGGACATCACCCTATTCCACCACACTCGTTTTTATCGTTGTGTTAGTTAAGCCATGCCGAGGCGTAAACAATAGATCTTGGGTTATTATCGGCAACACTTATGTGGCTGTTGTGTAGAGAGTGCATTCCCAGGGTACAGTGGGTTATTTCTGGCATAGTTGGGAGCTGTGTTGCCGGCCACGCATACCATTATAGTCATTGGGCTCGAAGCATTGGGGGTGATGTCCTGCAGATAGCTCCAGGGGTTGGCAGAGGCCGTATTAGGCGTGCATTCGTATGCCTCGTCGGCGTTGTATCTAACCGTGCGTCCTCGGGTTTTATCGGAATCGACTGGAAACGGAAACGTCTAGGGGGGGTCTTGTAAATCCCTGGGCTTGCAGTTGGTAAGTTGGTGTGAGCCTCGTCTGCATGGTGAATGTCAAAATCATTCCATAACAGCGATCGAGTACGCCGTCACTTGCTTTTTGTGGAAATGTGTTCGCTGTGTTGTGCTTGGGAAGCATAACCGCTCGTGTCGTTGTGTGATCGAATTCCAGCTCAGCATTAACGTATACAAGTTTGCACTTGCAGGGCAATGTTTTCAGTACTCGGTGGACAATGTCACTTTATCCCAATAACACTTCGGGGTTGCACGTTTTACCGCAATTTTGTTGTTGCTAAAACATCGCCTGTTTCGAGTCCTGCAGGTGCCCAAGAGTGTTGTACACAAGTGCTGCGTAATGTTCACCCACGTGAAGAAGCCACCTCTTAGCAATAAGGTCGGTGGGTCGGAAGAGATTTTTCCTATCGATTACTTTGAAGACCTTCAAAATGCTGCTTCCATCGTGGATATTTTCAAGTCCTCGGCAAGTAAGGAACTCAGCTCCACCGCAACCGAAACGCATCGAATTGCTGAATGTTTGCATAGGAATTGTATTTTTTTTGCATTTTGGCTTATGCAAACGTAGACCGATATTCTCTTAAAGTCTAGACCGTACAGTAATTGTAGTTTTTGTTTAACTGGGTGAGAGTCCATTGAGTCTTAAAAGTATTTTGCCAGGAAGAGTTGGTTACGAGCAATGCCGTGAAGTATGTGAATAAGCCAACAAAGTGGCACTTAAACACCTTTAAGCAACAACATCCAACGGCAAGCAGTATAACGTTTTTGAAGGCGTTTAATTAATGAGTATTTTGTTTCACGTTGAAATCGCATCAGTATATGATAAAAATACAATTGTATTTTTGAGATTTGTCAGATTTTTCTTCAATCTCATTGGTAGATTGGTGGGAGTGGTGCAGTGTTCCAGTGGTTCAGAGTTTTCATATGAACCCTGCAATTTGAATTTCAATTCCCGGCTGTAGCATCAGTCGTGAGTGATATCCGTACTGCCCTTCGGGTGCTCCATGCATCGGCCACGCACTCACCAGCGTGGTGAAGTTATGGTCAAACAAACCATTGATCCTTCTTTTTGGATTTGGCCACGTCGTAGTAGTTTTTATGTCAATTATTGTCGTCAGTCCCTCCACCACCCGACAAAGATGGTCACGGTTTACAAAGCTATTTCTATACAGACTCCTCTACTTACGAACATTCAACTTACGAGCTTTCAAAGATACGAACAAACCTCTCCGTATGTTCCAGCTGCCTGTTCGGACCGAGAGTCGTAATGTTAACCGCCGCGTAATAGTTGGCGGTGGTGGCATCTACATCTGCAGCACATGAAGAACCAGTAGCATCTACATCTACAGGAGAATATACAACTTTTACTTTTAAAGCCATTCCCCGTGTTTAGTGTACATGGCGTACAACCTGCTTGGAATCGACAGGAGTGAAGTTGGACTTACGAACAAATCGACTTATGAACAGCCGTCTGGAACCTAAGTACAGGAGTCCCTGTATATCGATCACATCCCGACCGATATACATCTTGTTCTTCTCGACGGTGGCCCGAGGCTCTTCACGACTGAATTGAACACGGGCGTGCCGCGACGTTCCACTCAAAACGGCTTCGAGCTTCTTCAGATAGTGAACTCGGACGTTGAGCAGGCTGCGTCAAGTTGACTGAAGAGCGTTGCGTACGTGACAATCCTGTCCAGGTGGTGTGGAGGGTAACTGGCAAGCATTTTGTCCTAAAACTACCACGTGGCCTGACCCAAACACAAATATGGATCGTCGTACTCGATACGGAAACCCGATTTAAAGTTAAATCATCAACTCGCATGGCTTCGGGAGACCTTTATTCAGGCGTATGTATGTTGAACTTTTTTCACACCGTATGTAGCCAAACGTGCTAATCGGATGTGCGGGGGAAGGACAACAAACTAAACACAAAAAGCAGTTCTAAAGAAATGAGTTTTCAATCTAGATTTAAAAGTGCAGAGCTCCAGTGGCTGTAGAAAGGGCTGCACATTAGCAGTGTTGCTGTATTGGTAAATTATGCGATTCGTGTGTGTCGCCTGCCAACCCAAATATACCCTTGTGTTCGATGGTTTTATTATTATTCACTGTTGACTTTGATGTTCACCTCGTGTTTGATTGTTCCTTCTGCTTCCCTGTTACACTGTCCTCTAGTTCCTGCTCCCTTCCTCTGCGTGCGTGCAAATTCCGCTTTAAATTAAAAAGTAAAACGCATGCGTGTGTAATACCCGTTCTCAAAATGTGACGATTACAACATTGATGCCTGTTGGGGTTTGTTTTTTTTCGCAACGGCATTCATCATCCTTGTCCAGCGTGGCCGGGCCCGTGCACTCTTCTCAATGGCTCGCCAATGATCTCTGCTGCACAACACGAGCCGCCGCTGACTCACTCGCTGCCTTACGATTGTCACTTTTCCTTCAATGCCTCTGTCACTGACGCCTTTGATCCATCTCGTCTCTCGGCCTTTCCCCGTCCCTCCAAATTCCCTCTAATCTCCGTGGCCAGTGTTCACGCAGTCTTTTTGATGACGGTGCCGCTTCCACCCTGCGTGTTCGCTGTCCACTCAACTCTCAACCCATCCCCAGTGCCGGAATATGCTCGTGCGGGGCCCCTAAATGTATATATATAAAAAAACGTAAATATTAAAACACAAATGTTTTACTTGCATAGTAAAGTAATTGTATTTTTTTTTTCATTTGCTATACAGCCAGATGATACGACAAATCGCTAACCTTAAACACCCGGTCGTTTGTAAAAGTTAAAGGCGGTATAGTACTATAGTAATAGAGCAAGTGCAGAATCACTGAACCGGAATTGATAGCTTGAAAGCATTTAGCGCGGGGCCCTTGAAAGTGCGGGGCCCGTAGCTACTACTACACATGCAGCTACTTTTGCTACTAGGATAATCCGGAATTGCCTCGACCCCCCTAGTCCCCACCCCCCTCCAATGTTGTACAGTACCACGATGCGTTCCAGGTGCCACGTAACAACACCGACGCGGTTGTTGCCGTGCCCCCCCCTCCCCCACGGCGTGCGTGCTCCAACCACCGTAGACGGCTCGCGCCCCGCCAGCGTCATCTTGACGCAGGCTCCTCGGACCGCCGGGGTCGAAGCCGCCCCGGCCCCTCCGACCTCGCCCGTGCCATCGCCGCCCTCGGCGTCGGCGGAGGAGGCCCCGAGGCGTGGCTGCCTCGGATGCCGCCGCCGCCGCCGCTGCTGCTGCTGTACCAGCAGGCTGTGCGCACTGCTGGTGCTGCTGTCGTGCCTCGTGCTGGCTACAGCGGCTCTCTCGGCCGCCACCTTCTACTTGACAGGTGACAGGGGACGGACCCCACCACCACCACCAACACCACCACCACCACCCCCGACATTGCTGCAGGTGTCGCTCAAGGCTCCTCGACAAGAAAACACGCAAATTCAAGAGGAGCCACACGATAGATAGGCGCGTGCGTTATACTGCGTGATGGGATGATGTCTAAGTTGGAGGCATGCATATACTCTTTGGTTCTTTCGGTAAAGTCACGTAGGTAGAAAAATAATAATAGATCACGACGTTTCGATCGCAAGACAAGCAATCGTCATCAGGTGGGACAACCACAGCAAGAAAAAACAAACTGCTGATGACGATTGCTTGTGTTGCGATCGAAACGACGTGACCTATTATTTTTTCTACCTACGCGACTTTACCGAAAGAACCAAAAAGTATGGATTCCTGCGGTCACGAAAGCTTCAAATCAAGATTGGAGGCATGGTTAGCAACAACAGCATCAACAAACGCCATTCGCCACTAAATGGCGGTGGCGTCACCACGGCGTTTGTGCCAGGCTACGTGCACTTTAGAGCCACGTGAAAGTGTCGAACGCCCGCTGGGCAGGAGGTCACGGGACCAAGACCCGGGTGACCGGCTCGGTCTCCTCTCCCGGAGCAGCAGCTGAGAGGGCAACGGTGCCGGTTTCTCAAATCGCAGCCTCGCCTCTGCCCACAACCAGCAGTGTAAATGGACGCATCGCAGTTCGCAGATTGCTTGTGGTGGGATTGAGCGTGGGCACCCCACCATCTCTTCCAAGTA